CGCCAAACCGCACCAGCGAAACACAACCAAACGACGGCCCCACGTTGGGCGCCAGTTTCTGAGACCGACACGCATCGCGTCAGCCGGCAAATAAAGCTCTGGGGAGATCGGACGAAGCGAGTGAGACGGAGCGGCGGCTGGCGGCGGGCCGCGACAGACGGCCGGCGGCAGGCCGCACTAGGCGACCGCGCACTCGGGCAGGGCGCCGGCGCTGAGCTCGTCTCATTGGAGTCCAGGATGGAGTTACGACTGCCGGAGATCCGGCGTCGACGGCCCTGCTTGGACCTGCGAAAAACCAGTGTGAATAAGCTCACTGGCTCCCTGGGTATGCACATTAGAAGCATCTATAATATATTGGCTTACTAGCACAGAAGGTAACACAACCTCTCGAACACGGCGTGGTCAATGAAGAAGTCGTGCAAGCTTCCATAACGGGTAATAATTAATTACTCAATACAGATGTCTCCATGCATGTCTCATCCTGATGTTCTATCCCAGCTTCTCAGTATCCTCACCTGATCTGCCCGGCCAGCAGCGGGTTCATGGCGTACAGCCACTCGTAGAGCTCCCGGACCGGGTCCTTGCCGACCGCCTGCAGCAGGTACTGCCGGTGCTGCGTCGACACCCTGACGGTACACGGAACGTGGGATCAACTTCACCGGTATGAATCTTAAACTATGCTGAAAAGAATTACGGAACAACAGGTCCAACTTCTGCAATTATATTTAAAGTTCCTACCAACCATGAACTCTTGAATCCTCTAATCATATTACTGTTTAAAAGATGCTTTGAGTGCTCACATCTTGCGCGCTTCAGGCATGTTGTAACACGGCGTTTCAAACACTACAAAGTACAAAGAGCACTATGGTATTTCGTCGTAGTAGGAACGAGACGGCAAGACAACTGCGTACCTGAAGGAGTTGGGCACGTCGTCCTGCTGGTCCTCGCTGAACTGGATCTGCGCCGTGGCCAGGTTGATGACCCCGCGCTCCACCGGGTCCTTGGCGTCACGGAACAGGAACACGTACGGCCGCCGCACCACCTGACGCATGGGAAAAGGGGTCGGTTAGTACGTCCACAGCATCACAGAACGCCAAAATAGCACAATGGAACCTGAAAAGTGAATGGGAGCTGCGATTGCTGCAATGCATAATTCTTTTATCACAAACGCAGACTGCAAGGTAAACTGGGCAAGGTAAATTTCTTGAAACATTTGTGGCTTCCCGTGGTTGATTTTAAAGCAATGAACTAGGCATATGTTGTCCAGGAACCGGTTGTGCTAGCCTGTGCCCTCCTCGCACCCCGCGCCGCCTCACCAGCCAGCGTTTGAGCCAGGTCTGCGTCTGCTCCTCGTAGACCTGCAGCAGGCCGCGCCGGCTGACGGCCGGCGAGACGCGGATCTCCTCGAGCTCTGCGCAGAACTGGGGCGCCGCCGGCCGCTCGGCGCCGGCCAGCACCATCGGCGATCCGGGCGAGGGCAGCGGCGAGCCGGCAGGCCGGCGCAGCGGGCCGTCGGTGGCCAGAGTGTTGGGCCGCTCCCCGCTCCACAGCCTGGCAGGGAGACACGGAGGTAGGGGCGTCGGCAAGTGGGAAAGATGTCCAACGATACGTTATCAATAATATCTCTAATAAGTCGTCAGAAAATATGCAACATTACTGCGGCGAATATAACAATGTCCATGTCAGGAAGCTGAAAAATAATTATCCAAGCTAAGCTACACATTTTTGGGCATTTGCTATTTGCTAGCAAAGAGGGTCATTACTAGTGAACAACTAGAGCCCGAGCGAAACGGAAAAGGGCGCCCAATACTTCTAAGTTCTTACCCCAGGAAGTTTAAGACCGGACCAGTATCATTCTTCGCGCCGACCGATAAAAATTGCAACAAGCCCGAGCGTTTGCGCAATGCGCAGGGCGTGCACCCCGCATCGATGCACGCAATTATTTCCTCTTTGAACGCGAGACGGCAAAAATATGTCAATTCTCAACGAGTTATGTTGTTTTTCCTCCAGTTCATCCGGCTCTGCCACTACCAATACCAGTGTATACTGGATATTACCGTCCCAGCCATCGCCCCGGCCGGTGCCTATGTCCGTACCCCGTGACCCCTGAGCAGCCTGCAGCACTCACGGCTTGTCTGGAGAGAGGAGCTCGCCGGCGACCGGCGAGGTCGGCGGCTCCACCGAGGTCACCGGCGGGTGGCTGGGCAGCGTCTGTAACACACAGCGGGGACACTGAGCGACGGTGGGCGATCCGACACAGAGAACGTCAACAAACAGGGTACATACCGCCCGGCTGGCCCTGACAGTCACAACATACCACCGGCCTGCAGCTCGAGGTCCTGCAGTCCATCAGGTGGCCAGTAATATGCATAAATATAGTTCGTAACATTAAATATTTCGCACTGGACTACTAAGTACTAATAATATACTCTGGACTCGGGTCGGTCACCGACACGGCCCTAACACAAACTCGTGTCTAAGCAATCAACACTTCATTGTTCTCATCCGTCCGTCTGCCGGTTAGACGTAGACCGCCCCCATCCTGTCTCCTCGCTGAAGTGTGGCGCGGGACACCCCCGACCCCACCTCGGCGGCCCCTTTCCCAGCCTACCTGCACGCTGTGGCCCAGTATGAGTCCGACGTATTTGGAGGCGATGTACCGCTCCCGCTCCGTCATCTGCCAGGGCTCGTACACGTCCTCGGGAGGGGTGTGGGCCGGAGGGGCGGTCACAGATGTCAGCCGGCCTTCGCTGCTCGCCTTGGCCACCTGGTTACACACGTCCTGACAGGGAGAGGGTGGCGGTCAGACGTCTGACAGACAAAAGTTCTGACGCCTGGAGGAGGGAGAGTGGCGGCCGGAGAGTGACGGGAAACAACAGAAACCAGGCTTGCGACAACAATAGGAATGCATTTTTTTCATCTTGTTAATTATTTGCACTTGACTTCTGGTAGTACCATAAAACAGAGAAGTGTCATTTATTCGTCTCGAAACAAAATTTTCAGAATTTTCAAAGTCCGTTCGGATAGAAATGTTCCTGCGTTGGACGTTTAACGAGGACACCCTCAAATACCCAGCATTATTTGAAACTGAATTCAACTGAGTCGCTCCACTGCACGTTAAGACCCTCGGTACGGTCGCGTGCCTACCTTCTCGGACTTGCTAAACTCGTGTCCGAGACAGGGCAGTCGGTCGAGGCCGAGTTTCTCCCGGAGCAGCAGCAGGTGTCTGATCCTGCCGACCTCCTGCAGCCGCGTCAGCTTCTCCAGCTCCCACTGGTGCTCGAAGAGCAGGCTGTCGCCGCGCGGCCGCCAGCCCTCCAGGTTCTCCTCGCCGCGCACGTACTGCACGCTCGTGTCCAGCACGCGCCGCTGACGACGGCTGGCGCCTGTGGATGAAGAGGGGTGCGTCAGCAAAGGTCACCGCTGACGGCGGCTGGCACGCATATACAGCATACATTTCCCGTCAACAAATAGCGAAAACTACCGTGAAGATAATAAAGAAGTTTATGTATGATTGTCTTAAGAAGATTTTCTTTTCATGACCTCCTGTCTGACAGTCTCATGTCGTTATGCATAGTGGTAGCTGTCCCCCAGATAGGAACACTAATCAGAAGCAGCACATTACCTTCTAACCTGGAAAACACGACCTCGGATTAGTTTGGCCTTCGGGACATCTCAGCAATAAAAGAAGTTTCAGGCAGCAAGACCCTCCATCCCCGAAAACCTGGCCTGGCCCTACGAAGACCTTTCCTCTCTCAACCCTTGCGGACATTTCGCACTCCGTCTCATACGGTTTCTCCCCTTCCCTTCCTGTCTTCAAACCCCACCGCTCCCCTCCACCCCGTCTGACCGGCGCCGTCGGCGGCGCGGCGCAGGCTGAGCTCGTAGACGCCCGTCAGCCGGTTGGCGTCGCTGGTCCGCAGGCCGCCCAGGAACAGCCGGCGGAAGGTGCGCGGCGCCGTGCGCGCCTCACGACCGTAGATGGTCATACACAGGTTCTTGGTGATGATGGCCGGCTGAGCGCAGTTGGCCACCTGATAGAGAGGGGACAGTCAGGACTCAGGAGTGACGACTTCGTGCATGTACCAACATTTACAATGTGGAATCGCAAAAAAAAAACTGGCATGGCGGCAGTGAGGTCATTGGCCATGTGATCTCTAGTCTAACTCCAAAATTATATATGTTTTGCAAAAAGCTCAATTTCTAGGCATCTATCATAAATCCATCACTCTCAGCCATTATAAAACAATAATAAAATGCAGAACAATAAAAATCCCCAGCAACAAAACCATATCTCCCATATACGATGCCCCACGGTACCAGTTGCACCTGCGGCTCCCTCCCATGGCCGCGACTGCCCTCACCTCCAGGTAGGCTGATATGGTCATGTAGACCACCTCTCTGTACGGCGTCACCCGGTTCAACAGCACAGAGTTGTGCAGAGACGAGTCCCAGGCCGCCTCGAACCGGAAGATGGTCCGAGAGTCGCCTGCCGGACAGCGGGGTCGGGTCAGACGGGTGGGGTCACCCGGTTAGCCACGCGCGGTCTAGCACACATACACATACGGAAGGGCCGCTGTCCTGGACTTTTACGTTGCTAAATTCAATCCAATGTGTGTATTTGCACGACGGAGCTGTGCATCAACACGTCACCGACCTTCAGGGAGTGGTTTACATATTGCGTCGAAGACTAATATAGCTCTCTGCCTATTAGATGAACGGTTAGTAACAGTGTCCCAAAATTGTAAGTTGGCTTGGGTGTCGGAGGGGAAATATCTCTCCAAAAAGGAGGCTGGGAGTGGAAAACCGCCGGACAGATAAGGCCCAAACACAGTGGGAAAAGACCAATAACACTGATTTCTACACAAAAGTGGAAAGTGTAGGATGTAAAACGGTCAGCCACGCAAATGCTTCTGTCGGTAAACCTGCGAGTGGAAAATTGTTCTTTAAAACTGGAGGTGAGAGTGTAAAATGATTTTTATTTGGATGTCGTGTCCCACCCAAATCAATAAATTTTGCGACACTGGTTAGTAACATAGTAATTATATAATAACTTGACACTAAGATACCCCGCGGATTCATAGACATTGACCACTCCAAACATCGATCCCTGCCGCTGGGGGAAACTATTGATTTTTTTTTTCTAGAAAATAACACAAAACGGCAGCACCAGAGTAACGCTCCAAACCACCGGGGGACGAAGCCCAAGTAAGACGAAACATTCCGATGTGACACTAGAGCAACAGTCGTCTCTCCGATGAGCCACCACAGCAACACAATAAATCGTCGTGGTAAGCCTATCGGGCAGGGCCATGACAGTTGTCATACGCACTCCATGTATGTAACAGCTATTGACCTGCGTTATACTCGATGTACCCGGGAGTCAAGACTGACCTGCGTACTCAACGTACCCTTACAACTGACCTTTACCCGCTACCGACCCGTACATACTGTACCAAAGACTGACCTGCGTACTCGACGTACCCGTTGTTGATCGGCACCCGAGACTGACATGTACCTCCTGTCAGTGTGAACCCTAAATAACCCTAAATGACTGACCTGCGTACTCGATGTACTCGCCGGGGAACAGGCCCAGCGAGAGCACGCTCGTGTCGTTCTCGTCCTCCTCCTCAAACTCCACCGTGTTGCGGATACGGCCTGCATCATACACACACGGGGAGGGGAGGTTATACTGATGATCGCATCACACGAGGGCCGTATAGCGCAAAGCGTGAGAGAAACCAGAGGGACAACATCTGCTAACACACCAGAGCTTTCACCTCATCACATAGTCTCCTCAGTGACATAATGTCCTTCGCAGTTAGCCCCATCCCCCATAACCACCTGAGAGCCGACCTGGCCTCAGTTCCATATCACACCAGTATCCTAGCCTTCCTCCCTGGCCACATCCCTCCTCCCCCACCCCCGTACCACTCACCGACCACCAGTTCCCTGACGTCCTTCCAGTTGATCTCTGTCTGTCTCTGTCTCTATCCCCTTCTCCCCACCACTCACCGACCACCAGTTCCCTGACGTCCTTCCAGTTGATCTCTGTCTGTCTCTGTCTCTGTCTCTATCTCTATCCCCTTCTCCCCACCACTCACCGACCACCAGTTCCCTGACGTCCTTCCAGTTGATCTCTGTCTCTGTCTCTGTCTCTGTCTCTATCCCCTTCTCCCCACCACTCACCGACCACCAGTTCTCTGACGTCCTTCCAGTTGATCTCTGTCTGTCTCTGTCTCTATCCCCTTCTCCCCATCACTCACCGACCACCAGTTCCCTGACGTCCTTCCAGTTGATCTCTGTCTGTCTCCGTCTCTGTCTCTGTCTCTATCCCCTTCTCCCCACCACTTACCGACCACCAGTTCCCTGACGCAGTGGCGTACCCAGGAATTTGCGAAGGACCAGGGCATTGGACGAGAGGGCGCCAATCAAGGAGGGCGCCAACAACAATGAGGGCGCCACATATCTGAAACTTGAATGTGTCAGTTATGTTCGTACACGTGCGGAACGAACATAACTGACATACTGGACAGAGGGGCGCCACCCACCATCATCTAGGAGCGCGACGCTATCGATTGGAGGGGCGCCAATACTGGACAAAGGGGCGCCACCGGCCCACCATATCGTCTAGGAGGGCGCCACTATCACCAGAGGAGCGCCAATACTGGACAGAGGGGCTTCGCCATCAACTAGAAGCGCGCCGCTATCGACTGGAGGAGCGCCAACACTGGACAGAAGGGCGCCAGTCACTGAGGGCGCCGGGGACGATGAGCCAAAGGGACAGGGCATGCACGGAATGTCCTGTATGTGCGTACGCCACTGCGGCCTGACGTCCTTCCAGTTGATCTCTGTCTGTCTCTGTCTCTGTCTCTATCCCCTTCACCCCACCACTCACCGACCACCAGTTCCCTGACGTCCTTCCAGTTGATCTCTGTCTGTCTCTGTCTCTGTCTCTATCCCCTTCTTCCCACCACTCACCAACCACCAGTTCCCTGACGTCCTTCCAGTTGATCTATGTCTGTCTCTGTCTCTGTCTCTGTCTCTATCCCCTTCTCCCCACCACTCACCGACCACCAGTTCCCTGACGTCCTTCCAGTTGATCTATGTCTGTCTCTGTCTCTGTCTCTGTCTCTATCCTCTTCTCCCCACCACTGACCAACCACCAGTTCCCTGACGTCCTTCCAGTTGATCTCTGTCTGTCTCTGTCTCTATCTCTCTCACCTTCTCCCCACCACTCACCGACCACCAGTTCCCTGACGTCCTTCCAGTTGATCTCTGTCTGTCTCTGTCTCTGTCTCTATCTCTATCCCCTTTTCCCCACCACTCACCGACCACCAGTTCCCTGACGTCCTTCCAGTTGATCTCTGTCTGTCTCTGTCTGTCTCTGTCTCTATCCCCTTTCCCACCACTCACCGACCACCAGTTCCCTGACGTCCTTCCAGTTGATCTCTGTCTCTGTCTCTGTCTCTGTCTCTATCCCCTTCTCCCCACCACTCACCGACCACCAGTTCCCTGACGTCCCTCCAGTTGATCTCTGTCTGTCTCTGTCTCTGTCTCTCTCACCTTCTCCCCACCACTCACCGACCACCAGTTCCCTGACATCCTTCCAGTTGATCTCTGTCTGTCTCTGTCTGTCTCTGTCTGTCTCTGTCTCTATCCCCTTTCCCACCACTCACCGACCACCAGTTCCCTGACGTCCTTCCAGTTGATCTCTGTCTCTGTCTCTGTCTCTATCTCTATCCCCTTCTCCCCACCACTCACCGACCACCAGTTCCCTGACGTCCTTCCAGTTGATCTATGTCTGTCTCTGTCTCTGTCTCTGTCTCTATCTCTATCCCTTCTCCCCACCACTCACCGACCACCAGTTCCCTGACGTCCTTCCAGTTGATCTCTGTCTCTGTCTCTATCTCCTTCTCCCCACCACTCACCGACCACCAGTTCCCTGACGTCCTTCCAGTTGATCTCTGTCTGTCTCTGTATCTGTCTCTATCCCCTTCTCCCCACTACCCACCGACCACCAGTTCCCTGACGTCCTTCCAGTTGATCTCTGTCTGTCTCTGTCTCTGTCTCTCTCACCCTCTCCCCACCACTCACCAACCACCAGTTCCCTGACATCCTTCCAGTTGATCTCTGTCTGTCTCTGTCTCTATCTCTTTCACCTTCTCCCCACCACTCACCGACCACCAGTTCCCTGACGTCCTTCCAGTTGATCTCTGTCTGTCTCTGTCTCTGTCTCTATCTCTATCCCCTTCTCCCCACCACTCACCGACCACCAGTTCCCTGACGTCCTTCCAGTTGATCTCTGTCTGTCTCTGTCTCTGTCTCTATCTCTATCCCCTTCTCCCCACCACTCACCGACCACCAGTTCCCTGACGTCCTTCCAGTTGATCTCTGTCTGTCTCTGTCTCTGTCTCTGTCTCTGTCTCTGTCTCTGTCTCTATCCCCTTCTCCCCACCACTCACCGACCACCAGTTCCCTGACGTCCTTCCAGTTGATCTCTGTCTGTCTCTGTCTCTATCTCTCTCACCTTCTCCCCACCACTCACCGACCACCAGTTCCCTGACGTCCTTCCAGTTGATCTATGTCTGTCTCTGTCTTTGTCTCTATCCCCTTCTCCCCACTACCCACCGACCACCAGTTCCCTGACGTCCTTCCAGTTGATCTCTGTCTGTCTCTGTCTCTGTCCCCTTCTCCCCACCACTCACCGACCACCAGTTCCCTGACGTCCTTCCAGCTGATCTCTGTCTGTCTCTGTCTCTGTCTGTCTCTGTATCTGTCTCTATCCCCTTCTCCCCACTACCCACCGACCACCAGTTCCCTGACGTCCTTCCAGTTGATCTCTGTCTGTCTCTGTCTCTGTCTCTGTCTCTATCCCCTTCTCCCCACCACCCACCGACCACCAGTTCCCTGACGTCCTTCCAATTGATCTCTGTCTGTCTCTGTCTCTGTCTCTGTCTCTGTCTCTATCCCCCTCTTCCCACCACTCACCGACCACCAGTTCCCTGACGTCCTTCCAGTTGATCTCTATCTCTGTCTCTGTCTCTGTCTCTGTCTCTATCCCCTTTTCCCCACCACTCACCGACCACCAGTTCCCTGACGTCCTTCCAGTTGATCTCTGTCTGTCTCTGTCTCTGTCTCTGTCTCTGTCTCTGTCTCTGTCTCTATCCCTTCTCCCCACCACTCACCGACCACCAGTTCCCTGACGTCCTTCCAGTTGATCTCTGTCTGTCTCTGTCTCTGTCCCCTTCTCCCCACCACTCACCGACCACCAGTTCCCTGACGTCCTTCCAGTTGATCTCTGCGCTTCGCTCGTGCACCACGGTGACTCTCAGCCGGCGCTGGATGCCCTGGTGCAGCAGAAACTGACCGCCCGTCGGCAGCTCGTCCTGGTGCTCTACCACGGCCGGCACGTACTCCCCACTGGGTGCTGGAGGGAACCGAGGGACTAGATGTCACAGGGAGGTCACATCGGTTACAGTGCAGCTCGTCCTGGTGCTCTACCACGGCCGGCACGTACTCCCCACTCGGGGCTGAGAGGGGAAGGGGGGCAGAGGGTTAACAGGTCACAGGGATGTCACGGGTCACAGAGGTCACAGGACAGCTCGTCCTGATGCTCCACCACGGCCGGTACGTACTCTCCGCTCGGTGCTGTAAAGATAGAAGGGTCACAGGTCACAGAATACAGAGGTCACAGGTCAGCCCGCTCTGGTGCTCCACCAACGCTGGCACATACTCCCCACTAGGTGCTGAGGGAGACGGAGAGGTCATGGATCATGGAGAGGCCCGCCACAGAATACTGAAGTGATACCGACGCCGATACAGCGACCTAAATAGATTATGCTACACGACCACTGGATATCAATGACAGAAGGTCAAGATGATCGAAGTCGACTTTGACAATGCGGTCTGTATGCGACATTGCAGTGCCATGCGAGGTATGAACTCGAAATATTGTATACAATATGTTACATATTACAATACAAATTTTGTTATACATAACAAAATTTGAAGCCCATGAAGACGTGAAGTAAAGTGGGCAGCAGAATGTCACCAGTTACCCATTACTGGGGCAATGGCCATATTGACGTCAGCTCAGTGCAACGTTCCAAGTTCAGATTGTGAGGCGATCCGGCTGAATTAACGACCGTAAGCCAACACAATTTATGACCTTATTACGACGGAGTGGCTAATTAAAGTCAACAAGGCGCATGAATACTGTATGTTTTCGGAAATAGATTGTGCTGCAAAGTTTATTGCGACTTTCGGAAATATATTGTGCTGCAAAGTTTATTGCGACTTTCGGAAATAGATTGTACTGCAAAACTTATTGTGACACACACCAATACGAAATCCAATTATATCAAAGTTCAAAAGAGCATTAGAAGAACACCGCCTAATGTGAATCCTGTGGGTTTGCACAGTAAAATGCAGAAAGTTATATTGGGAGCCGCCACCAACCGACCCTCACCACCCTCATTCCCGCCCGGCAGCACCCATCGACCCCTCCCGGCCCCCAGTCCCGCCTAGCCGCTCTCCCCGCCCTCAGTCCCGCCCGGTCGCCCTCCCCGCCCTCAGTCCCACCCTCAGTCCCGCCCAGCCGCCCTCCCCGCCCTCAGTCCCGCCCCAGTTCCGCCCGGCCGCTCTGCCCGCCCTCAGCCCCGCCTGTCTGCGCTCACCGAGCTCGCAGATCTCGAACCAGACGAGGATGTCGTGTCGGGCGTGCACGTGGGCGGAGCACGGCTGCTGCAGCGGACCGAACTTGGACGAGCGCACCGGCTGGCTGATGGGAATGGCCAGCGGCTGCAGCCGACGTGGCGGCGGACGTCTGACGGACAGAGAGACAGACGGACAGTCAGCGACCGGCACAGGGGAGTCAGCCACGGACAGGGCGGTCAGGGCGCACCGGCTGGCTGATGGGGGATGGTCAGTGGCGGCGGTCGGCGGGGGGGGGGAGGGGGAGTCACGGCGAGGTTGGCACTTAGCGGCGGGGAACTTCGGCAGGCCAGTTTTTCAGTATTTTCACGCAGACACTAACCGAAACACGACCCACATCCTCAGCTTCCCCTCCCCTTTACTCACAGGCAGGAGTCCATGCGCGAGTCGTTGTGCAGCGGGTGCTGCTGGTAGTGGCCGAACACCTCGAACACCAGCGGCTCCGTCTTCAGGTACTCGACAAACGACCGGCTCACCGTCACAGTGATCTGTAACAGCGTGACGCGGAACGTCAGACACACTCAGCTGCTCACCGTCACAGCATTGTTCCGTCGACCAGCCAAACACACAAACTTCTGGCCACAGCCAGATACATCCCTCGGGTCATTAGTATTACCGGAATGGGATACTCTGTTCGACCAGGTCGAAAGCCCCTTACGAACACTCAAGCATAATCCTCTGTACAGACACATCTCTCCCAGCCACAGGGCCAGATTTGGTACTTACGTTCTGGACGTGATAGAAGCCGATGGGCGCCGCCCCGGAGTTTTTGATGGGCTCCGTCGAGAACGCCTCGTCATCGCGATGTCGGAACCTGCGGACGGGATGGAAGGGGATGCGGGTTAAACATCGGTCAAAAGCGGTATCACGACTTCATTAAACGTCCGTTACATCACATGTGGAGAATGAAGCTGCATAGATAACACAATAAAAAGCCTCTATTTATCACTGAAGCAGCTCTTTGCTATCAATGATAGCTAGTAGCTAGATGCTATATAGATGGCATGTAGATTATAGGTGGTGTCGGCAATCCTCACAATATTATTTACAATTGGCTATCTCTACCGTTTCTACACGTACTCCCCCTCTCTACTCAAACGCCCTCTCCGCCACGCGCTACCCACTTGAACTGGCAGAAGACGTCCGAGTAGTCGCTCTGCATGCCCATGCCCTGCAGGACGGTGACACGGAAGGTGAACTCGGCGCCGGGCGTCAGGTGGGCCGGCAGCTGCTCCTCGGCCTCCTTCTCAGAGTCGCCGCGACCGCTGTCCGCGTCCGTCTCACCGTCTCCTGATAAAGAAGGTCAGGGTTAAGTAGGCGTTGTGACTTGTGACCAACATAGTAATTGGCGGTAGAGTCTGCTTATGCAGTGCAGCCTCTCCATTGGTTCTAAGGGCGCATTGTCACCTAGTCATTGCAAACAAAATTTTGTGAGTTGAATGGGCGTACTCATTTCAGCAGGCATAAACACGGATAGGTAACCAGCTTCGGCAGGAAAAAAAACGAGCTCCGTAAGGTTTCTGAGCCTTGCCAGCGCAAGGATGACAGAAAGTGAGCGTACTGTCGCCTGGACTCACGTGTGAGCGCGCCGGCCTCTACGGACGCGTCCTCTCCTAGTGGCGGCGGTCCGCGCGCGCCGGCCGGCCGCGCTGCCAGCTGGTCGTCGCTGAAGGTGATGCGGGCCGACTGGCGCACACCAGAGGAGCATTCCAGACCGTCCTCGTCTGCAGCGGGGGGAGGGGAGGGAGAGTTGTACAGAGGGAGACGAGGTGACGTGTGGGTAGTATCAAACAACAGAGGAGCACTCCAACCCGTCCTCGTATGAGAGAGGGGAGGGGAGGGAGAGTTGTACAGAGGGAGACGAGGTGATGTGCGGGTAGTATCGGACAACAGAGGAGCACCCCAGGCCGTCCTCGTCTGGTGAGGGTGATGGGAGAGAGAGAGTTATACAGAGGGAGACGAGATGACGCGTGGGTAGTATCGGATAGCCGGCGGGACACGCACTTGTTGATCTCACCTAAACTGACCCGACCTTCGCCAAATGCTAAAAATGGATTCAGATTCAGCGCGAAACTATGATCCAGATACCATTAAAAAATTGAAGTTTGTTTTTCAAGTTTTTTTTCTGTCTGATGTGTCAATATCATAAAGGTGCAATCTAATATTGGGTAATATTGCATAGGTCAGATGGCCTATCATTTCTCTATTATTATTTTTTTTAGTTAAAAATCATCGTATCAGGGCTATGACGAAAAACATGTGGCCTAAATCCGATGAGAAAACTGGATTTGGGGGTACCCTAGGTTTAGAGGAGACACTAGGGCGATGGGCGAAGAGCAGACCGTCCCCCCCCAACCAAAAGTCCGTGGCGGAGCCCTTGAATTTACTCCTTAGTTCAAAACACCCACAAACATAGCTCTCGGAGCTTCCACTGTGGCCCCTGCTCCCCGATCTACTCACGCTCTCTCTGAGCCGGCCCTGCTCCCGTTGTCTGACGCCCCGCCGTCCGCGCAGTAACGCCGTGTTCGGCACCGATCCCGACCACGAGTACAACGGCCTGCTGTTCCCGGACGTGGCCGAGACGCTGGCGGCGGCGCGCCTCCAGCCGCACCAGGCCGAGCCGTGGCGGCGCGTGCACCGCGCCCTCGCCGCCGCCGTGTTTGTGGTGAACGCTGCCGGCGCCGCGCTGCGCGAGCCCACACGATTCGCGCGGCCCTGGGAGGGGGAGGGCGGCTCGGCGGCCGGGCACCAGGGACGGGACGGCGGCGACTGTCGAATGAGGCACTCTGAGCTGTAGGTGACGACCGAGACCGAAGGACGAGATGGAGAGGTGTGCATTTGAACCAAAACGAGTCGATGGCTATTCACGTTTTGAGGGGAAACCAGAGATGGCGACTGAGGCAGGGCTTGACCCTGTTTTATTGCAGCTGAATGTATGTTAATATGTGTAATTGTATTCATCAGTGTTTACCATTTACCTTGACGTGCACTTGGCGTGTGTACACTGTGCTGTGACTGTGGGGAATCGTGTGTCGACTAGAAGCTGATGACCTGGCCGAAAGACTTACGAGATGTACTGATGGAACGATCCGTATGTGCCATGTACATACACAACTACATACCTATCAGTAGTGCACCCTTATTCCGTGCACCTGTATATTTGATATTGTATATGCCTTTATACTGTATAGTGCATAAAGAACATATCTTTAGTACAACCCTATACAATGAGAATAATATATGCATCGTTGAATTTATGTCCAGTTTCGTTGCATGACAGTCGCCAATCGCCAGAAACGGTGTTTTAGCCATTTATACCGCATTACTAAACGCATGCCATGGGTCAATGCATGCATAAACACGCATCACATGCGCCATGCACGAGTGACGAAAATCCAATTAAAACCGTGGCGGCATATATGGTCAGTCATTGGTGAAGGTGTGGCGTAATCGGCGATAATCATTTGGTAAAAAAGTCATCTCAATTGAACTGAAAACGTTGTAACCTATGGCTCGCAACTTATGAATTTTAGCAATATCAAAGGAATAATCAAATCCGTGAATAATGATGGCTTGCCTACATCAAAACAAGGTTCGCCCCGTCCAGATGGAGAAGTCGAGATCGCTCACGAGAGTGTGTTCCGCCACGACCCGCATCTTGGTAATGCCGCTGCGCAGCAGTCATCCGCTCCGCCCTACCCCGACCTACCGCCGCTACCTCTCCCTCTCTGCCCCATTCTGAGATCACAGGTCACGTCGAGAAGCCGTGTATTCCAGCAGGGATTGCCGCCGCCGGGTCGGCAACAATGACATACACCGAGGACAGAGCGTAAGCCCCGCGGTCCCGCGCGCTCCGGGTGGGCGGACACCGCCCTCATCCGGACCCTATTCCGGCCTGAACAGGCCCAGCTCTGGTAGTCACCCCAGAGACCTCCGCACTGCATGCTCGTGTAAAACGATTGCTTCAAGACCAGGGTGCAACTGAAAGACAGCGATAATACGCCTGTTTATATAAGCTATTGACCAGCACTACCTAATGGATAATCAATCATAACGCATAAGTAGTAGGACAAAAGCATCAAAACGAAACGCTCACATGATAAAATATACAAAAAACCTGAACGCATAAGGTCGTAAAACGTAACAACAGTTAAAGCTATAAATAACACTAGTTTCGTCCATTTTACCACTTCAATATAGATATTCAAATACTTCGGCATTGACTAACATAAGTCAGATAAATATTGTTCAAAAGTACACATGATACCATAGTGAATAGTTCACATCTCTCGCATCTATCTCACCAAGGCTAATTTAACCTAGTGCAGTTTCCAAGTTTCACTAAGCAGATCACATTAGCAGAGAGGCGTCTAGAAGTCTACATTCATTCAGAGTCTCGAGAGTCGCCGCGGTCAAACCGCGTCTCGCATCACACGAGTCGGGTGGATCGTGCCTTCGAATAGTTGGCAATAGCACAGGACCTAAGCGAGGGCCCTGTTCCAGCCTCATTGTATTGTCTATCTTCATCACTGCCAGCACTACCATACTCTAGGGAGATATCAGAGCTCAGCGCCGCGCCACGTATTAGCACCTGGACCGCCGTCCACACCGCAAAACACAGCGAAACACAACCAAACGACGGCCCCACGTTGGGCGCCAGTTTCTGAGACCGACACGCATCGCGTCAGCCGGCAAATAAAGCTCTGGGGAGATCGGACGAAGCGAGTGAGACGGAGCGGCGGCTGGCGGCGGGCCGCGACAGACGGCCGGCGGCAGGCCGCACTAGGCGACCGCGCACTCGGGCAGGGCGCCGGCGCTGAGCTCGTCTCATTGGGAGTCCAGGATGGAGTTACGACTGCCGGAGATCCGGCGTCGACGGCCCTGCTTGGACCTGCGAAAAACCAGTGTGAATAAGCTCACTGGCTCCCTGGGTATGCACATTAGAAGCATCTATAATATATTGGCTTACTAGCACACAGAAGGTAACACAACCTCTCGAACACGGCGTGGTCAATGAAGAAGTCGTGCAAGCTTCCATAACGGGTAATAATTAATTACTCAATACAGATGTCTCCATGCATGTCTCATCCTGATGTTCTATCCCAGCTTCTCAGTATCCTCACCTGATCTGCCCGGCCAGCAGCGGGTTCATGGCGTACAGCCACTCGTAGAGCTCCCGGACCGGGTCCTTGCCGACCGCCTGCAGCAGGTACTGCCGGTGCTGCGTCGACACCCTGACGGTACACGGAACGTGGGATCAACTTCACCGGTATGAATCTTAAACTATGCTGAAAAGAATTACGGAACAACAGGTCCAACTTCTGCAATTATATTTAAAGTTCCTACCAACCATGAACTCTTGAATCCTCTAATCATATTACTGTTTAAAAGATGCTTTGAGTGCTCACATCTTGCGCGCTTCAGGCATGTTGTAACACGGCGTTTCAAACACTACAAAGTACAAAGAGCACTATGGTATTTCGTCGTAGTAGGAACGAGACGGCAAGACAACTGCGTACCTGAAGGAGTTGGGCACGTCGTCCTGCTGGTCCTCGCTGAACTGGATCTGCGCCGTGGCCAGGTTGATGACCCCGCGCTCCACCGGGTCCTTGGCGTCACGGAACAGGAACACGTACGGCCGCCGCACCACCTGACGCATGGGAAAAGGGGTCGGTTAGTACGTCCACAGCATCACAGAACGCCAAAATAGCACAATGGAACCTGAAAAGTGAATGGGAGCTGCGATTGCTGCAATGCATAATTCTTTTATCACAAACGCAGACTGCAAGGTAAACTGGGCAAGGTAAATTTCTTGAAACATTTGTGGCTTCCCGTGGTTGATTTTAAAGCAATGAACTAGGCATATGTTGTCCAGGAACCGGTTGTGCTAGCCTGTGCCCTCCTCGCACCCCGCGCCGCCTCACCAGCCAGCGTTTGAGCCAGGTCTGCGTCTGCTCCTCGTAGACCTGCAGCAGGCCGCGCCGGCTGACGGCCGGCGAGACGCGGATCTCCTCGAGCTCTGCGCAGAACTGGGGCGCCGCCGGCCGCTCGGCGCCGGCCAGCACCATCGGCGATCCGGGCGAGGGCAGCGGCGAGCCGGCAGGCCGGCGCAGCGGGCCGTCGGTGGCCAGAGTGTTGGGCCGCTCCCCGCTCCACAGCCTGGCAGGGAGACACGGAGGTAGGGGCGTCGGCAAGTGGGAAAGATGTCCAACGATACGTTATCAATAATATCTCTAATAAGTCGTCAGAAAATATGCAACATTACTGCGGCGAATATAACAATGTCCATGTCAGGAAGCTGAAAAATAATTATCCAAGCTAAGCTACACATTTTTGGGCATTTGCTATTTGCTAGCAAAGAGGGTCATTACTAGTGAACAACTAGAGCCCGAGCGAAACGGAAAAGGGCGCCCAATACTTCTAAGTTCTTACCCCAGGAAGTTTAAGACCGGACCAGTATCATTCTTCGCGCCGACCGATAAAAATTGCAACAAGCCCGAGCGTTTGCGCAATGCGCAGGGCGTGCACCCCGCATCGATGCACGCAATTATTTCCTCTTTGAACGCGAGACGGCAAAAATATGTCAATTCTCAACGAGTTATGTTGTTTTTCCTCCAGTTCATCCGGCTCTGCCACTACCAATACCAGTGTATACTGGATATTACCGTCCCAGCCATCGCCCCGGCCGGTGCCTATGTCCGTACCCCGTGACCCCTGAGCAGCCTGCAGCACTCACGGCTTGTCTGGAGAGAGGAGCTCGCCGGCGACCGGCGAGGTCGGCGGCTCCACCGAGGTCACCGGCGGGTGGCTGGGCAGCGTCTGTAACACACAGCGGGGACACTGAGCGACGGTGGGCGATCCGACACAGAGAACGTCAACAAACAGGGTACATACCGCCCGGCTGGCCCTGACAGTCACAACATACCACCGGCCTGCAGCTCGAGGTCCTGCAGTCCATCAGGTGGCCAGTAATATGCATAAATATAGTTCGTAACATTAAATATTTCGCACTGGACTACTAAGTACTAATAATATACTCTGGACTCGGGTCGGTCACCGACACGGCCCTAACACAAACTCGTGTCTAAGCAATCAACACTTCATTGTTCTCATCCGTCCGTCTGCCGGTTAGACGTAGACCGCCCCCATCCTGTCTCCTCGCTGAAGTGTGGCGCGGGACACCCCCGACCCCACCTCGGCGGCCCCTTTCCCAGCCTACCTGCACGCTGTGGCCCAGTATGAGTCCGACGTATTTGGAGGCGATGTACCGCTCCCGCTCCGTCATCTGCCAGGGCTCGTACACGTCCTCGGGAGGGGTGTGGGCCGGAGGGGCGGTCACAGATGTCAGCCGGCCTTCGCTGCTCGCCTTGGCCACCTGGTTACACACGTCCTGACAGGGAGAGGGTGGCGGTCAGACGTCTGACAGACAAAAGTTCTGACGCCTGGAGGAGGGAGAGTGGCGGCCGGAGAGTGACGGGAAACAACAGAAACCAGGCTTGCGACAACAATAGGAATGCATTTTTTTCATCTTGTTAATTATTTGCACTTGACTTCTGGTAGTACCATAAAACAGAGAAGTGTCATTTATTCGTCTCGAAACAAAATTTTCAGAATTTTCAAAGTCCGTTCGGATAGAAATGTTCCTGCGTTGGACGTTTAACGAGGACACCCTCAAATACCCAGCATTATTTGAAACTGAATTCAACTGAGTCGCTCCACTGCACGTTAAGACCCTCGGTACGGTCGCGTGCCTACCTTCTCGGACTTGCTAAACTCGTGTCCGAGACAGGGCAGTCGGTCGAGGCCGAGTTTCTCCCGGAGCAGCAGCAGGTGTCTGATCCTGCCGACCTCCTGCAGCCGCGTCAGCTTCTCCAGCTCCCACTGGTGCTCGAAGAGCAGGCTGTCGCCGCGCGGCCGCCAGCCCTCCAGGTTCTCCTCGCCGCGCACGTACTGCACGCTCGTGTCCAGCACGCGCCGCTGACGACGGCTGGCGCCTGTGGATGAAGAGGGGTGCGTCAGCAAAGGTCACCGCTGACGGCGGCTGGCACGCATATACAGCATACATTTCCCGTCAACAAATAGCGAAAACTACCGTGAAGATAATAAAGAAGTTTATGTATGATTGTCTTAAGAAGATTTTCTTTTCATGACCTCCTGTCTGACAGTCTCATGTCGTTATGCATAGTGGTAGCTGTCCCCCAGATAGGAACACTAATCAGAAGCAGCACATTACCTTCTAACCTGGAAAACACGACCTCGGATTAGTTTGGCCTTCGGGACATCTCAGCAATAAAAGAAGTTTCAGGCAGCAAGACCCTCCATCCCCGAAAACCTGGCCTGGCCCTACGAAGACCTTTCCTCTCTCAACCCTTGCGGACATTTCGCACTCCGTCTCATACGGTTTCTCCCCTTCCCTTCCTGTCTTCAAACCCCACCGCTCCCCTCCACCCCGTCTGACCGGCGCCGTCGGCGGCGCGGCGCAGGCTGAGCTCGTAGACGCCCGTCAGCCGGTTGGCGTCGCTGGTCCGCAGGCCGCCCAGGAACAGCCGGCGGAAGGTGCGCGGCGCCGTGCGCGCCTCACGACCGTAGATGGTCATACACAGGTTCTTGGTGATGATGGCCGGCTGAGCGCAGTTGGCCACCTGATAGAGAGGGGACAGTCAGGACTCAGGAGTGACGACTTCGTGCATGTACCAACATTTACAATGTGGAATCGCAAAAAAAAAACTGGCATGGCGGCAGTGAGGTCATTGGCCATGTGATCTCTAGTCTAACTCCAAAATTATATATGTTTTGCAAAAAGCTCAATTTCTAGGCATCTATCATAAATCCATCACTCTCAGCCATTATAAAACAATAATAAAATGCAGAACAATAAAAATCCCCAGCAACAAAACCATATCTCCCATATACGATGCCCCACGGTACCAGTTGCACCTGCGGCTCCCTCCCATGGCCGCGACTGCCCTCACCTCCAGGTAGGCTGATATGGTCATGTAGACCACCTCTCTGTACGGCGTCACCCGGTTCAACAGCACAGAGTTGTGCAGAGACGAGTCCCAGGCCGCCTCGAACCGGAAGATGGTCCGAGAGTCGCCTGCCGGACAGCGGGGTCGGGTCAGACGGGTGGGGTCACCCGGTTAGCCACGCGCGGTCTAGCACACATACACATACGGAAGGGCCGCTGTCCTGGACTTTTACGTTGCTAAATTCAATCCAATGTGTGTATTTGCACGACGGAGCTGTGCATCAACACGTCACCGACCTTCAGGGAGTGGTTTACATATTGCGTCGAAGACTAATATAGCTCTCTGCCTATTAGATGAACGGTTAGTAACAGTGTCCCAAAATTGTAAGTTGGCTTGGGTGTCGGAGGGGAAATATCTCTCCAAAAAGGAGGCTGGGAGTGGAAAACCGCCGGACAGATAAGGCCCAAACACAGTGGGAAAAGACCAATAACACTGATTTCTACACAAAAGTGGAAAGTGTAGGATGTAAAACGGTCAGCCACGCAAATGCTTCTGTCGGTAAACCTGCGAGTGGAAAATTGTTCTTTAAAACTGGAGGTGAGAGTGTAAAATGATTTTTATTTGGATGTCGTGTCCCACCCAAATCAATAAATTTTGCGACACTGGTTAGTAACATAGTAATTATATAATAACTTGACACTAAGATACCCCGCGGATTCATAGACATTGACCACTCCAAACATCGATCCCTGCCGCTGGGGGAAACTATTGATTTTTTTTTTCTAGAAAATAACACAAAACGGCAGCACCAGAGTAACGCTCCAAACCACCGGGGGACGAAGCCCAAGTAAGACGAAACATTCCGATGTGACACTAGAGCAACAGTCGTCTCTCCGATGAGCCACCACAGCAACACAATAAATCGTCGTGGTAAGCCTATCGGGCAGGGCCATGACAGTTGTCATACGCACTCCATGTATGTAACAGCTATTGACCTGCGTTATACTCGATGTACCCGGGAGTCAAGACTGACCTGCGTACTCAACGTACCCTTACAACTGACCTTTACCCGCTACCGACCCGTACATACGGTACCAAAGACTGACCTGCGTACTCGACGTACCCGTTGTTGATCGGCACCCGAGACTGACATGTACCTCCTGTCAGTGTGAACCCTAAATAACCCTAAATGACTGACCTGCGTACTCGATGTACTCGCCGGGGAACAGGCCCAGCGAGAGCACGCTCGTGTCGTTCTCGTCCTCCTCCTCAAACTCCACCGTGTTGCGGATACGGCCTGCATCATACACACACGGGGAGGGGAGGTTATACTGATGATCGCATCACACGAGGGCCGTATAGCGCAAAGCGTGAGAGAAACCAGAGGGACAACATCTGCTAACACACCAGAGCTTTCACCTCATCACATAGTCTCCTCAGTGACATAATGTCCTTCGCAGTTAGCCCCATCCCCCATAACCACCTGAGAGCCGACCTGGCCTCAGTTCCATATCACACCAGTATCCTAGCCTTCCTCCCTGGCCACATCCCTCCTCCCCCACCCCCGTACCACTCACCGACCACCAGTTCCCTGACGTCCTTCCAGTTGATCTCTGTCTGTCTCTGTCTCTATCCCCTTCTCCCCACCACTCACCGACCACCAGTTCCCTGACGTCCTTCCAGTTGATCTCTGTCTGTCTCTGTCTCTGTCTCTATCTCTATCCCCTTCTCCCCACCACTCACCGACCACCAGTTCCCTGACGTCCTTCCAGTTGATCTCTGTCTCTGTCTCTGTCTCTGTCTCTATCCCCTTCTCCCCACCACTCACCGACCACCAGTTCTCTGACGTCCTTCCAGTTGATCTCTGTCTGTCTCTGTCTCTATCCCCTTCTCCCCATCACTCACCGACCACCAGTTCCCTGACGTCCTTCCAGTTGATCTCTGTCTGTCTCCGTCTCTGTCTCTGTCTCTATCCCCTTCTCCCCACCACTTACCGACCACCAGTTCCCTGACGCAGTGGCGTACCCAGGAATTTGCGAAGGACCAGGGCATTGGACGAGAGGGCGCCAATCAAGGAGGGCGCCAACAACAATGAGGGCGCCACATATCTGAAACTTGAATGTGTCAGTTATGTTCGTACACGTGCGGAACGAACATAACTGACATACTGGACAGAGGGGCGCCACCCACCATCATCTAGGAGCGCGACGCTATCGATTGGAGGGGCGCCAATACTGGACAAAGGGGCGCCACCGGCCCACCATATCGTCTAGGAGGGCGCCACTATCACCAGAGGAGCGCCAATACTGGACAGAGGGGCTTCGCCATCAACTAGAAGCGCGCCGCTATCGACTGGAGGAGCGCCAACACTGGACAGAAGGGCGCCAGTCACTGAGGGCGCCGGGGACGATGAGCCAAAGGGACAGGGCATGCACGGAATGTCCTGTATGTGCGTACGCCACTGCGGCCTGACGTCCTTCCAGTTGATCTCTGTCTGTCTCTGTCTCTGTCTCTATCCCCTTCACCCCACCACTCACCGACCACCAGTTCCCTGACGTCCTTCCAGTTGATCTCTGTCTGTCTCTGTCTCTGTCTCTATCCCCTTCTTCCCACCACTCACCAACCACCAGTTCCCTGACGTCCTTCCAGTTGATCTATGTCTGTCTCTGTCTCTGTCTCTGTCTCTATCCCCTTCTCCCCACCACTCACCGACCACCAGTTCCCTGACGTCCTTCCAGTTGATCTATGTCTGTCTCTGTCTCTGTCTCTGTCTCTATCCTCTTCTCCCCACCACTGACCAACCACCAGTTCCCTGACGTCCTTCCAGTTGATCTCTGTCTGTCTCTGTCTCTATCTCTCTCACCTTCTCCCCACCACTCACCGACCACCAGTTCCCTGACGTCCTTCCAGTTGATCTCTGTCTGTCTCTGTCTCTGTCTCTATCTCTATCCCCTTTTCCCCACCACTCACCGACCACCAGTTCCCTGACGTCCTTCCAGTTGATCTCTGTCTGTCTCTGTCTGTCTCTGTCTCTATCCCCTTTCCCACCACTCACCGACCACCAGTTCCCTGACGTCCTTCCAGTTGATCTCTGTCTCTGTCTCTGTCTCTGTCTCTATCCCCTTCTCCCCACCACTCACCGACCACCAGTTCCCTGACGTCCCTCCAGTTGATCTCTGTCTGTCTCTGTCTCTGTCTCTCTCACCTTCTCCCCACCACTCACCGACCACCAGTTCCCTGACATCCTTCCAGTTGATCTCTGTCTGTCTCTGTCTGTCTCTGTCTCTATCCCCTTTCCCACCACTCACCGACCACCAGTTCCCTGACGTCCTTCCAGTTGATCTCTGTCTCTGTCTCTGTCTCTATCTCTATCCCCTTCTCCCCACCACTCACCGACCACCAGTTCCCTGACGTCCTTCCAGTTGATCTATGTCTGTCTCTGTCTCTGTCTCTGTCTCTATCTCTATCCCTTCTCCCCACCACTCACCGACCACCAGTTCCCTGACGTCCTTCCAGTTGATCTCTGTCTCTGTCTCTATCTCCTTCTCCCCACCACTCACCGACCACCAGTTCCCTGACGTCCTTCCAGTTGATCTCTGTCTGTCTCTGTATCTGTCTCTATCCCCTTCTCCCCACTACCCACCGACCACCAGTTCCCTGACGTCCTTCCAGTTGATCTCTGTCTGTCTCTGTCTCTGTCTCTCTCACCCTCTCCCCACCACTCACCAACCACCAGTTCCCTGACATCCTTCCAGTTGATCTCTGTCTGTCTCTGTCTCTATCTCTTTCACCTTCTCCCCACCACTCACCGACCACCAGTTCCCTGACGTCCTTCCAGTTGATCTCTGTCTGTCTCTGTCTCTGTCTCTATCTCTATCCCCTTCTCCCCACCACTCACCGACCACCAGTTCCCTGACGTCCTTCCAGTTGATCTCTGTCTGTCTCTGTCTCTGTCTCTATCTCTATCCCCTTCTCCCCACCACTCACCGACCACCAGTTCCCTGACGTCCTTCCAGTTGATCTCTGTCTGTCTCTGTCTCTGTCTCTGTCTCTGTCTCTGTCTCTATCCCCTTCTCCCCACCACTCACCGACCACCAGTTCCCTGACGTCCTTCCAGTTGATCTCTGTCTGTCTCTGTCTCTATCTCTCTCACCTTCTCCCCACCACTCACCGACCACCAGTTCCCTGACGTCCTTCCAGTTGATCTATGTCTGTCTCTGTCTTTGTCTCTATCCCCTTCTCCCCACTACCCACCGACCACCAGTTCCCTGACGTCCTTCCAGTTGATCTCTGTCTGTCTCTGTCTCTGTCCCCTTCTCCCCACCACTCACCGACCACCAGTTCCCTGACGTCCTTCCAGCTGATCTCTGTCTGTCTCTGTCTCTGTCTGTCTCTGTATCTGTCTCTATCCCCTTCTCCCCACTACCCACCGACCACCAGTTCCCTGACGTCCTTCCAGTTGATCTCTGTCTGTCTCTGTCTCTGTCTCTGTCTCTATCCCCTTCTCCCCACCACCCACCGACCACCAGTTCCCTGACGTCCTTCCAATTGATCTCTGTCTGTCTCTGTCTCTGTCTCTGTCTCTGTCTCTATCCCCCTCTTCCCACCACTCACCGACCACCAGTTCCCTGACGTCCTTCCAGTTGATCTCTATCTCTGTCTCTGTCTCTGTCTCTGTCTCTATCCCCTTTTCCCCACCACTCACCGACCACCAGTTCCCTGACGTCCTTCCAGTTGATCTCTGTCTGTCTCTGGCTGATGGGAATGGCCAGCGGCTGCAGCCGACGTGGCGGCGGACGTCTGACGGACAGAGAGACAGACGGACAGTCAGCGACCGGCACAGGGGAGTCAGCCACGGACAGGGCGGTCAGGGCGCACCGGCTGGCTGATGGGGGATGGTCAGTGGCGGCGGTCGGCGGGGGGGGGGGGAGGGGGAGTCACGGCGAGGTTGGCACTTAGCGGCGGGGAACTTCGGCAGGCCAGTTTTTCAGTATTTTCACGCAGACACTAACCGAAACACGACCCACATCCTCAGCTTCCCCTCCCCTTTACTCACAGGCAGGAGTCCATGCGCGAGTCGTTGTGCAGCGGGTGCTGCTGGTAGTGGCCGAACACCTCGAACACCAGCGGCTCCGTCTTCAGGTACTCGACAAACGACCGGCTCACCGTCACAGTGATCTGTAACAGCGTGACGCGGAACGTCAGACACACTCAGCTGCTCACCGTCACAGCATTGTTCCGTCGACCAGCCAAACACACAAACTTCTGGCCACAGCCAGATACATCCCTCGGGTCATTAGTATTACCGGAATGGGATACTCTGTTCGACCAGGTCGAAAGCCCCTTACGAACACTCAAGCATAATCCTCTGTACAGACACATCTCTCCCAGCCACAGGGCCAGATTTGGTACTTACGTTCTGGACGTGATAGAAGCCGATGGGCGCCGCCCCGGAGTTTTTGATGGGCTCCGTCGAGAACGCCTCGTCATCGCGATGTCGGAACCTGCGGACGGGATGGAAGGGGATGCGGGTTAAACATCGGTCAAAAGCGGTATCACGACTTCATTAAACGTCCGTTACATCACATGTGGAGAATGAAGCTGCATAGATAACACAATAAAAAGCCTCTATTTATCACTGAAGCAGCTCTTTGCTATCAATGATAGCTAGTAGCTAGATGCTATATAGATGGCATGTAGATTATAGGTGGTGTCGGCAATCCTCACAATATTATTTACAATTGGCTATCTCTACCGTTTCTACACGTACTCCCCCTCTCTACTCAAACGCCCTCTCCGCCACGCGCTACCCACTTGAACTGGCAGAAGACGTCCGAGTAGTCGCTCTGCATGCCCATGCCCTGCAGGACGGTGACACGGAAGGTGAACTCGGCGCCGGGCGTCAGGTGGGCCGGCAGCTGCTCCTCGGCCTCCTTCTCAGAGTCGCCGCGACCGCTGTCCGCGTCCGTCTCACCGTCTCCTGATAAAGAAGGTCAGGGTTAAGTAGGCGTTGTGACTTGTGACCAACATAGTAATTGGCGGTAGAGTCTGCTTATGCAGTGCAGCCTCTCCATTGGTTCTAAGGGCGCATTGTCACCTAGTCATTGCAAACAAAATTTTGTGAGTTGAATGGGCGTACTCATTTCAGCAGGCATAAACACGGATAGGTAACCAGCTTCGGCAGGAAAAAAACGAGCTCCGTAAGGTTTCTGAGCCTTGCCAGCGCAAGGATGACAGAAAGTGAGCGTACTGTCGCCTGGACTCACGTGTGAGCGCGCCGGCCTCTACGGACGCGTCCTCTCCTAGTGGCGGCGGTCCGCGCGCGCCGGCCGGCCGCGCTGCCAGCTGGTCGTCGCTGAAGGTGATGCGGGCCGACTGGCGCACACCAGAGGAGCATTCCAGACCGTCCTCGTCTGCAGCGGGGGGAGGGGAGGGAGAGTTGTACAGAGGGAGACGAGGTGACGTGTGGGTAGTATCAAACAACAGAGGAGCACTCCAACCCGTCCTCGTATGAGAGAGGGGAGGGGAGGGAGAGTTGTACAGAGGGAGACGAGGTGATGTGCGGGTAGTATCGGACAACAGAGGAGCACCCCAGGCCGTCCTCGTCTGGTGAGGGTGATGGGAGAGAGAGAGTTATACAGAGGGAGACGAGATGACGCGTGGGTAGTATCGGATAGCCGGCGGGACACGCACTTGTTGATCTCACCTAAACTGACCCGACCTTCGCCAAATGCTAAAAATGGATTCAGATTCAGCGCGAAACTATGATCCAGATACCATTAAAAAATTGAAGTTTGTTTTTCAAGTTTTTTTTCTGTCTGATGTGTCAATATCATAAAGGTGCAATCTAATATTGGGTAATATTGCATAGGTCAGATGGCCTATCATTTCTCTATTATTATTTTTTTTAGTTAAAAATCATCGTATCAGGGCTATGACGAAAAACATGTGGCCTAAATCCGATGAGAAAACTGGATTTGGGGGTACCCTAGGTTTAGAGGAGACACTAGGGCGATGGGCGAAGAGCAGACCGTCCCCCCCCCAACCAAAAGTCCGTGGCGGAGCCCTTGAATTTACTCCTTAGTTCAAAACACCCACAAACATAGCTCTCGGAGCTTCCACTGTGGCCCCTGCTCCCCGATCTACTCACGCTCTCTCTGAGCCGGCCCTGCTCCCGTTGTCTGACGCCCCGCCGTCCGCGCAGTAACGCCGTGTTCGGCACCGATCCCGACCACGAGTACAACGGCCTGCTGTTCCCGGACGTGGCCGAGACGCTGGCGGCGGCGCGCCTCCAGCCGCACCAGGCCGAGCCGTGGCGGCGCGTGCACCGCGCCCTCGCCGCCGCCGTGTTTGTGGTGAACGCTGCCGGCGCCGCGCTGCGCGAGCCCACACGATTCGCGCGGCCCTGGGAGGGGGAGGGCGGCTCGGCGGCCGGGCACCAGGGACGGGACGGCGGCGACTGTCGAATGAGGCACTCTGAGCTGTAGGTGACGACCGAGACCGAAGGACGAGATGGAGAGGTGTGCATTTGAACCAAAACGAGTCGATGGCTATTCACGTTTTGAGGGGAAACCAGAGATGGCGACTGAGGCAGGGCTTGACCCTGTTTTATTGCAGCTGAATGTATGTTAATATGTGTAATTGTATTCATCAGTGTTTACCATTTACCTTGACGTGCACTTGGCGTGTGTACACTGTGCTGTGACTGTGGGGAATCGTGTGTCGACTAGAAGCTGATGACCTGGCCGAAAGACTTACGAGATGTACTGATGGAACGATCCGTATGTGCCATGTACATACACAACTACATACCTATCAGTAGTGCACCCTTATTCCGTGCACCTGTATATTTGATATTGTATATGCCTTTATACTGTATAGTGCATAAAGAACATATCTTTAGTACAACCCTATACAATGAGAATAATATATGCATCGTTGAATTTATGTCCAGTTTCGTTGCATGACAGTCGCCAATCGCCAGAAACGGTGTTTTAGCCATTTATACCGCATTACTAAACGCATGCCATGGGTCAATGCATGCATAAACACGCATCACATGCGCCATGCACGAGTGACGAAAATCCAATTAAAACCGTGGCGGCATATATGGTCAGTCATTGGTGAAGGTGTGGCGTAATCGGCGATAATCATTTGGTAAAAAAGTCATCTCAATTGAACTGAAAACGTTGTAACCTATGGCTCGCAACTTATGAATTTTAGCAATATCAAAGGAATAATCAAATCCGTGAATAATGATGGCTTGCCTACATCAAAACAAGGTTCGCCCCGTCCAGATGGAGAAGTCGAGATCGCTCACGAGAGTGTGTTCCGCCACGACCCGCATCTTGGTAATGCCGCTGCGCAGCAGTCATCCGCTCCGCCCTACCCCGACCTACCGCCGCTACCTCTCCCTCTCTGCCCCATTCTGAGATCACAGGTCACGTCGAGAAGCCGTGTATTCCAGCAGGGATTGCCGCCGCCGGGTCGGCAACAATGACATACACCGAGGACAGAGCGTAAGCCCCGCGGTCCCGCGCGCTCCGGGTGGGCGGACACCGCCCTCATCCGGACCCTATTCCGGCCTGAACAGGCCCAGCTCTGGTAGTCACCCCAGAGACCTCCGCACTGCATGCTCGTGTAAAACGATTGCTTCAAGACCAGGGTGCAACTGAAAGACAGCGATAATACGCCTGTTTATATAAGCTATTGACCAGCACTACCTAATGGATAATCAATCATAACGCATAAGTAGTAGGACAAAAGCATCAAAACGAAACGCTCACATGATAAAATATACAAAAAACCTGAACGCATAAGGTCGTAAAACGTAACAACAGTTAAAGCTATAAATAACACTAGTTTCGTCCATTTTACCACTTCAATATAGATATTCAAATACTTCGGCATTGACTAACATAAGTCAGATAAATATTGTTCAAAAGTACACATGATACCATAGTGAATAGTTCACATCTCTCGCATCTATCTCACCAAGGCTAATTTAACCTAGTGCAGTTTCCAAGTTTCACTAAGCAGATCACATTAGCAGAGAGGCGTCTAGAAGTCTACATTCATTCAGAGTCTCGAGAGTCGCCGCGGTCAAACCGCGTCTCGCATCACACGAGTCGGGTGGATCGTGCCTTCGAATAGTTGGCAATAGCACAGGACCTAAGCGAGGGCCCTGTTCCAGCCTCATTGTATTGTCTATCTTCATCACTGCCAGCACTACCATACTCTAGGGAGATATCAGAGCTCAGCGCCGCGCCACGTATTAGCACCTGGACCGCCGTCCACACCGCAAAACACAGCGAAACACAACCAAACGACGGCCCCACGTTGGGCGCCAGTTTCTGAGACCGACACGCATCGCGTCAGCCGGCAAATAAAGCTCTGGGGAGATCGGACGAAGCGAGTGAGACGGAGCGGCGGCTGGCGGCGGGCCGCGACAGACGGCCGGCGGCAGGCCGCACTAGGCGACCGCGCACTCGGGCAGGGCGCCGGCGCTGAGCTCGTCTCATTGGGAGTCCAGGATGGAGTTACGACTGCCGGAGATCCGGCGTCGACGGCCCTGCTTGGACCTGCGAAAAACCAGTGTGAATAAGCTCACTGGCTCCCTGGGTATGCACATTAGAAGCATCTATAATATATTGGCTTACTAGCACACAGAAGGTAACACAACCTCTCGAACACGGCGTGGTCAATGAAGAAGTCGTGCAAGCTTCCATAACGGGTAATAATTAATTACTCAATACAGATGTCTCCATGCATGTCTCATCCTGATGTTCTATCCCAGCTTCTCAGTATCCTCACCTGATCTGCCCGGCCAGCAGCGGGTTCATGGCGTACAGCCACTCGTAGAGCTCCCGGACCGGGTCCTTGCCGACCGCCTGCAGCAGGTACTGCCGGTGCTGCGTCGACACCCTGACGGTACACGGAACGTGGGATCAACTTCACCGGTATGAATCTTAAACTATGCTGAAAAGAATTACGGAACAACAGGTCCAACTTCTGCAATTATATTTAAAGTTCCTACCAACCATGAACTCTTGAATCCTCTAATCATATTACTGTTTAAAAGATGCTTTGAGTGCTCACATCTTGCGCGCTTCAGGCATGTTGTAACACGGCGTTTCAAACACTACAAAGTACAAAGAGCACTATGGTATTTCGTCGTAGTAGGAACGAGACGGCAAGACAACTGCGTACCTGAAGGAGTTGGGCACGTCGTCCTGCTGGTCCTCGCTGAACTGGATCTGCGCCGTGGCCAGGTTGATGACCCCGCGCTCCACCGGGTCCTTGGCGTCACGGAACAGGAACACGTACGGCCGCCGCACCACCTGACGCATGGGAAAAGGGGTCGGTTAGTACGTCCACAGCATCACAGAACGCCAAAATAGCACAATGGAACCTGAAAAGTGAATGGGAGCTGCGATTGCTGCAATGCATAATTCTTTTATCACAAACGCAGACTGCAAGGTAAACTGGGCAAGGTAAATTTCTTGAAACATTTGTGGCTTCCCGTGGTTGATTTTAAAGCAATGAACTAGGCATATGTTGTCCAGGAACCGGTTGTGCTAGCCTGTGCCCTCCTCGCACCCCGCGCCGCCTCACCAGCCAGCGTTTGAGCCAGGTCTGCGTCTGCTCCTCGTAGACCTGCAGCAGGCCGCGCCGGCTGACGGCCGGCGAGACGCGGATCTCCTCGAGCTCTGCGCAGAACTGGGGCGCCGCCGGCCGCTCGGCGCCGGCCAGCACCATCGGCGATCCGGGCGAGGGCAGCGGCGAGCCGGCAGGCCGGCGCAGCGGGCCGTCGGTGGCCAGAGTGTTGGGCCGCTCCCCGCTCCACAGCCTGGCAGGGAGACACGGAGGTAGGGGCGTCGGCAAGTGGGAAAGATGTCCAACGATACGTTATCAATAATATCTCTAATAAGTCGTCAGAAAATATGCAACATTACTGCGGCGAATATAACAATGTCCATGTCAGGAAGCTGAAAAATAATTATCCAAGCTAAGCTACACATTTTTGGGCATTTGCTATTTGCTAGCAAAGAGGGTCATTACTAGTGAACAACTAGAGCCCGAGCGAAACGGAAAAGGGCGCCCAATACTTCTAAGTTCTTACCCCAGGAAGTTTAAGACCGGACCAGTATCATTCTTCGCGCCGACCGATAAAAATTGCAACAAGCCCGAGCGTTTGCGCAATGCGCAGGGCGTGCACCCCGCATCGATGCACGCAATTATTTCCTCTTTGAACGCGAGACGGCAAAAATATGTCAATTCTCAACGAGTTATGTTGTTTTTCCTCCAGTTCATCCGGCTCTGCCACTACCAATACCAGTGTATACTGGATATTACCGTCCCAGCCATCGCCCCGGCCGGTGCCTATGTCCGTACCCCGTGACCCCTGAGCAGCCTGCAGCACTCACGGCTTGTCTGGAGAGAGGAGCTCGCCGGCGACCGGCGAGGTCGGCGGCTCCACCGAGGTCACCGGCGGGTGGCTGGGCAGCGTCTGTAACACGGAGCGGGGACACTGAGCGACGGCGGCCGGTCCGACACAGAGAGCGTCAACAAACAGGGCACATACCGCCCGGCTGGCCCTGACAGTCACAGCATGCCACGGCCAGCAGCTCGAGGTCATGCGTCCCATCATGTGGCCGGTAATATACATATTCATTGTTCGTAACATTAAATATTTCACAATGGACTAATTAATAATATACTCTGGACTCGGATCGGTCACCGACACGCCCCTAACAAAAACTCGTGTCCAAGCACAACCAATCAACACCTCATCCTTCTCAGCTATCTGTCTCCCGGTTAGACGTAGACCGCCCCAGCCTGTCTCCTCGCTGAAGTGTGACGCGGGACACCCCACCCCGCCAGCCCCTTTCCCAGCCTACCTGCACGCTGTGGCCCAGTATGAGTCCGACGTATTTGGAGGCGATGTACCGCTCCCGCTCGGTCATCTGCCAGGGCTCGTATACGTCCTCGGGAGGGGTGCGGGCCGGAGGGGCGGTCACAGATGTCAGCCGGCCCTCGCTGCTCGCCTTGGCCACCTGGTTACACACGTCCTGACAGATAGAGGGTGGCGGTCAGACGTCTGATATAGATCCTGACACAGGGAGAGGGAGCGGGACTGTCGGTCATAGGGCGTCTACGACCCTGCAGCAACTTCCAGTATCAAATACACCTCAAATAAAAAAGTGTTTACTGAAAAAATGCTCCTAGTGGCCTGCTGAAGTGCTGACCAAACAGTTCCGTAGCTGCAGTCCCCACCAGTCCGCTCCGCTGCACACCCACCTTCTCGGACTTGCTGAACTCGTGTCCGAGACAGGGCAGCCGGTCGAGGCCGAGCTTCTCCCTCAGCAGCAGCAGGTGTCTGATCCTGCCGACCTCCTGCAGCCGGGTCAGCTTCTCCAGCTCCCACTGGTGCTCGAAGAGCAGGCTGTCGCCGCGCGGCCGCCAGCCCTCCAGGTTCTCCTCGCCGCGTACGTACTGCACGCTCGTGTCGAGCACGCGCCGCTGGCGGCGGCTGGCGCCTGTGGGTAAAGAGGTCATAAGGTCATTACAGGTCACTGCTGACGGCCGGGCTGGTACGCCCATACATCATACATTTTCCCGTCATTACATGGCGAAGAACATCGTGACGATAGTAATACATGAGTGACTTAATGTAAGATTGGTTTCAGTAGATTTTATCTTCTATTCACGTCTTGTCTGCCATATACATAGCGGCATAATTACGTGTTCCGTAAAATTAAAACAATCAGAATTAGCGTGCAATAAGACACTCTTGTCTTCCAGCTGCCTCTATCCCCCAAAACCGGACCTAGCTCTACGAATACGTTCCCTCTTTCGAAACCTACGAGCATGTCCCAGCCCATCCCATTCAGTCTCTTCTGCAGCTACCCTCCCATCTCCCTCTAATTCACTCACCGGCGCCGTCTGCGGCGCGGCGCAGGCTGAGCTCGTAGACACCCGTCAGCCGGTTGGCGTCGCTGGTCCTCAGGCCGCCCAGGAACAGCCGGCGGAAGGTGCGCGGCGCCGTGCGCGCCTCCCGGCCGTAGATAGTCATACACAGGTTCTTGGTGATGATGGCCGGCTGAGCGCAGTTGGCCACCTGATAGAGAGGGGACAGTCAGGTTGAGTCAGAAGTGACGACTTCGTGCATAAACAAACATGTTTAATGTGGAATCGCAAAAAAAGAACAGGGCACGGCGGCAGTGAGGTCATTGGCAATCGGTAACTCTAGTCTAACTCCAAATGTAGTTATGGCAAAAAAGCTCAACCTTTAGGCATCTATCACAAATCAGACACTCTCAGCCAGCATAAAAACGATGATTAAATGCAGAACAGTGAAAATCCTTAAAATCATAACTCCCGTATGCTGTCCTAGGGTACCAGTTGCACCTGCGGCTCCCTGCCCGCGGCCGCGGTTGCCCTCACCTCCAGGTAGGCAGAGATGGTCATGTAGACCACCTCTCCGTACGGCGTCACCCGGTTCAGCAGCACAGAGTTGTGCAGAGACGAGTCCCAGGCCGCCTCGAACCGGAAGATGGTCCGCGAGTCGCCTGCCAGACAGCGGGGTCGGGTCAGACGGGTGGGGTCACCGGTTAGCCACGCGCGGTCTAGCACACATACACATACGGAAGGGCCGCTGTCCTGGACTTTTACGTTGCTAAATTCAATCCAATGTGTGTATTTGCACGACGGAGCTGTGCATCAACACGTCACCGACCTTCAGGGAGTGGTTTACATATTGCGTCGAAGACTAATATAGCTCTCTGCCTATAGATGAACGGTTAGTAACAGTGTCCCAAACTTTTAAGTTGGCTTGGGTGTCGGAGGGGAAATATCTCTCCAAAAAGGAGGCTGAGAGTGGAAAACCACCGGACAGATAAGGCCCAACACAGTGGAAAAAGACCAATAACACTGATTTCTATACAAAAGTGGAAAGTGTAGGATGTAAAACGGTCAGCCACGCAAATGCTTTTGTCGGTAAAACTGCGAGTGGAAAATTGCTCTTAAAACTGGAGGTGAGTGTAAAATGATTTCTATTTGGATGTCGTGTCCCACCCAAATCAATAAATTTTGCGACACTGGTTAGCAACATAGTAATTATTAACCAATGACTTGACACTTTGAGATGCCCCGCGAATTCATAGACATTGACCACTCCAAACATTGATCCCTGCAGCTGGGGGAAACTATTCATTTTTTTTCTCGAAAATAACACAAAACGGCAGCACCAGAGCTATGCTCCAAACCACCGGGGGACGAAGCCCAAGTAAGACGAAACATCCTGATGTAACGCTAGAGCGACTCGCCAGTCGCCACTTGACATTCCGATGAGCAAGCCAGAGAAACACAATAAATCGCAGTGCTAAGCCTATCGGGCAGGGCCATGACAGTTGACCTACACACTCGATGTACCCGCGGATACTGACCTGCGTACTCGATGTACTCGCCGGGGAACAGGCCCAGCGACAGCACGCTCGTGTCGTTCTCGTCCTCTTCCTCAAACTCCACCGTGTTGCGGATTCGGCCTGGACCACACACACAAACGGGGAGGGGAGGGGGAAGGGGTCATTTTGATGACCGTACAACGCACGATGATAGAAATCAGAGGGACAACACGTCCTACATACGCGTTGGCGTCAGCCAGCACTTATCACACACAAATCACCTGAAACACGACCTGGCCTCGCTCTACATATCCCACCAGTCTCCTAGCCTTCCTCCCTGGCCACCTCCTCTCTCCCCCACTCCTGTTCCACTCACCGACCACCAGTTCCCTGACGTCCTTCCAGTTGATCTCTGTCTGTCTCTGTATCTGTCTCTATCCCCTTCTCCCCACCACTCACCGACCACCAGTTCCCTGACGTCCTTCCAGTTGATCTCTGTCTGTCTCTGTCTCTGTCTCTATCCCCTTCTCCCCACCACTCACCGACCACCAGTTCCCTAACGTCCTTCCAGTTGATCTCTGTCTGTCTCTGTCTCTGTCTCTATCCCCTTTTCCCCACCACTCACCGACCACCAGCTCCCTGACGTCCTTCCAGTTGATCTCTGTCTGTCTCTGTCTTTGTCTCTATCCCCTTCTCCCCACCACTCACCGACCACCAGTTCCCTGACGTCCTTCCAGTTGATCTCCGTCTGTCTCTGTCTCTGTCTCTATCCCCTTCTCCCCACCACTCACCGACCACCAGTTCCCTGACGTCCTTCCACTTGATCTCTGTCTGTCTCTGTCTCTGTCTCCATCCCCTTCTCCCCACCACTCACCGACCACCAGTTCCCTGACGTCCTTCCACTTGATCTCTGTCTGTCTCTGTCTCTGTCTCCATCCCCTTCTCCCCACCACTCACCGACCACCAGTTCCCTAACGTCCTTCCAGTTGATCTCTGTCTGTCTCTGTCTCTGTCCCCTTCTCCCCACCACTCACCGACAACCAGTTCCCTAACGTCCTTCCAGTTGATCTCTGTCTGTCTCTGTCTCTATCCCCTTCTCCCCACCACTCACCGACCACCAGTTCCCTGACGTCCTTCCACTTGATCTCTGTCTGTCTCTGTCTCTGTCTCTATCCCCTTCTCCCCACCACTCACCGACCACCAGTTCCCTAACGTCCTTCCAATTGATCTCTGTCTGTCTCTGTCTCTGTCTCCATCCCCTTCTCCCCACCACTCACCGACCACCAGTTCCCTAACGTCCTTCCAGTTGATCTCTGTCTGTCTCTGTCTCTATCCCCTTCTCCCCACCACTCACCGACCACCAGTTCCCTGACGTCCTTCCAGTTGATCTCTGTCTGTCTCTGTCTCTGTCTCTATCCCCTTTTCCCCACCACTCACCGACCACCAGCTCCCTGACGTCCTTCCAGTTGATCTCTGTCTGTCTCTGTCTTTGTCTCTATCCCCTTCTCCCCACCACTCACCGACCACCAGTTCCCTGACGTCCTTCCAGTTGATCTCCGTCTGTCTCTGTCTCTGTCTCCATCCCCTTCTCCCCACCACTCACCGACCACCAGTTCCCTGACGTCCTTCCACTTGATCTCTGTCTGTCTCTGTCTCTGTCTCCATCCCCTTCTCCCCACCACTCACCGACCACCAGTTCCCTGACGTCCTTCCACTTGATCTCTGTCTGTCTCTGTCTCTGTCTCCATCCCCTTCTCCCCACCACTCACCGACCACCAGTTCCCTAACGTCCTTCCAGTTGATCTCTGTCTGTCTCTGTCTCTGTCCCCTTCTCCCCACCACTCACCGACAACCAGTTCCCTAACGTCCTTCCAGTTGATCTCTGTCTGTCTCTGTCTCTATCCCCTTCTCCCCACCACTCACCGACCACCAGTTCCCTGACGTCCTTCCACTTGATCTCTGTCTGTCTCTGTCTCTGTCTCTATCCCCTTCTCCCCACCACTCACCGACCACCAGTTCCCTAACGTCCTTCCAATTGATCTCTGTCTGTCTCTGTCTCTGTCTCCATCCCCTTCTCCCCACCACTCACCGACCACCAGTTCCCTAACGTCCTTCCAGTTGATCTCTGTCTGTCTCTGTCTCTATCCCCTTCTCCCCACCACTCACCGACCACCAGTTCCCTGACGTCCTTCCAGTTGATCTCTGTCTGTCTCTGTCTCTGTCTCTATCCCCTTCTCCCCACCACTCACCGACCACCAGTTCCCTGACGTCCTTCCAGTTGATCTCTGTCTGTCTCTGTCTCTGTCTCTGTCTCTGTCTGTCTCTATCCCCTTCTCCCCACCACTCACCGACCACCAGTTCCTTGACGTCCTTCCAGTTGATCTCTGTCTGTCTCTGTCTCTGTCTCTGTGTCTATCCCCTTCTCCCCACCACTCACCGACCACCAATTCCTTGACGTCCTTCCAGTTGATCTCTGTCTGTCTCTGTCTCTATCCCCTTCTCCCCACCACTCACCGACCACCAGTTCCCTGACGTCCTTCCAGTTGATCTCCGTCTGTCTCTGTCTAGTCTGTCTCTATCCCCTTCCCCACTCACCGACCACCAGTTCCCTGACGTCCTTCCAGTTGATCTCAGCGCTACGCTCGTGCACCACGGTGACTCTCAGCCGGCGCTGGATGCCCTGGTGCAGCAGAAACTGACCGCCCGTCGGCAGCTCGTCCTGGTGCTCCACCACGGCTGGCACGTACTCCCCACTGGGTGCTGGAGGGAACCAAGGAGCCAGATGTCACAGGGAGGTCACATCGGTTACAGTGCAGCTCGTCCTGGTGCTCCACCACGGCAGGTACGTACTCCCCACTCGGGGCAGAGGGGGCAGAGGGTTAACAGGTCACAGGGATGTCACGGGTCACAGAGGTCACAGGGCAGCTCGTCCTGGTGCTCCACCACCGCTGGTACACTCGGGGACAGATTGATATTCCACCACTCCCTATACCCATCGGGCTCCCATGGCTCAGCACTGGCTGCTGCCAGTGGCAGCACTGGCAGCACTGGCACTGGCAGGCAGTGCTGACCAGTGCTGAGAGCAGGCAAGACTGGCAGCAGCCAGTGCTGAGCCATGGGAGCCCGATAGGTAGGGAGTGGTGGAACATCAATCTGCCCCCGAGTGTACGTACTCTCCGCTCGGTGCTGTAAAGATAGAGGGGTCACAGGTCACAGAATACAGAGGTCACAGGTCAGCCCGCTCTGGTGCTCCACCACCGCCGGCACATACTCCCCACTAGGTGCTGAGGGAGACGGAGAGGTCACGGATCATGGAAAGGCCCGCCATAGAATACTGAAGTGACACCGACGCCGATACAGCGACCTAAATAAATCAAGTTACACGACCACTGGATATCAATGACAGGAGGTCAAGATGATCGAAGTCGACTTTGACAATGCGGTTTGTATGCGACATTGCAGTGCCGTGCGGGGTCTGAACTCGAAATATTGTATAAAAAAATTGAAGCACATGAAGACGTGAGGTTAAACTGGGCAGCAAAATGTCACCAGTTACCCAGTAGAACAATTACAGTGGGGCAATGGCCATATTGACGTCAGCTCAGTGTAACGTTCCAAGTTTAGATTGTGAGGCGATCCGGCTGAATTAACGACCGTAAAGCCTGCAAATTTTATGACCATATTACGACGGAGTGGCTAATTAAAGTCAACAAGGCGCATGAATACTGTATGTTTTCGGAAATAGATTGTGCTGCAAAGTTTATTGCGACTTTCCGAAATAGATTGTGCTGCAAAATTTATTGCGACTTTCGGAAAAAAATTGTGCTGTAAAACTTATTGTGACACACACCAACACGAAATCTAATTATACCAAAGTTCAAAAGAGCGCTGGAAGAACGCCACATAATGTGAATCCTGTGGGCCTGCACAGTAAAATGCAAAGAGTTATAATGGGGGCCGTCACCAACCGACGCCCGTTCCGACCACCCACCAAACCCTTGCCGTCCTCAGTCCCGCCCTTAGTCCCGCCCGGCCGCCCTCGGTCCCGCCCTCAGTCCCGCCCAGTCGCGCTCACCGAGCTCGCAGATCTCGAACCAGACGAGGATGTCGTGCCGGGCGTGCACGTGGGCCGAGCACGGCTGCTGCAGCGGACCGAACTTGGACGAGCGCACCGGCTGGCTGATGGGAATGGCCAGCGGCTGCAGACGACGTGGCGGCGGACGGCTGACGGACAGAGAGACAGACGGACAGTCAGTGACGGGCACAGAGGAGTCAGACACGGACAGGACGGTCAGGGCGCACCGGCCGACTGATGGGGATGGCCAGTGGCGGCGGTCGGCTGGGGGGGGGGGGGGAGTCACGGCGAGGTTGGCACTTAGCGGCGGGGAACTTCGGCAGGCCAGTTTTTCAGTGCTTTCACGCAGACACCAACCCAAACACGACCCACATCCTCAGCTTCCCATCCCCTTTACTCACAGGCAAGAGTCCATGCGCGAGTCGTTGTGCAGCGGGTGCTGCTGGTAGTGGCCGAACACCTCGAACACCAGCGGCTCCGTCTTCAGGTACTCGACAAACGACCGGCTCACCGTCACAGTGATCTGAAACAGCGTCACACGTACCGTCACAGCGGGTCACACTCATCGCCAGATCTCTAAAGACGTCACATAACGTCACAGACACGTCACGACGGCTCAGCGTTACCACGATCGGTGTACTGTAACACGTCTCACCCAGCTGAATTGCTGGTAGTCAGGCCCCAAGCCGATGCCACGCTCCCCATCCCACTCCGCCGATCAGCAACGGCCCATCCGCTGTGTCCAGTTACTAACTACAGTCACACTCCCAAGCCATGTCAGTTTGGTACGTACGTTCTGGACGTGATAGAAGCCGATGGGCGCGGCCCCAGAGTTTTTGATAGGCTCTGTTGAAAACGCCTCGTCGTCGCGATGTCGGAACCTGCGAGCAGAGGGAGTGGATGCGGGTTAAACACTTGTCAAAGGCGGAATCACACTTCCGTCCGGTAAGTGACATATGTAGATTGTAGGTAGGTAGATAGTACGTGGATGGCATCCCGATTGTGGGTGGTGTCGGCAATCTGACAAAATTATTTACATTTGGCTTGTCCTACCCGCCTCTTGCACACTCCTCTCCCTTACACGAAGTCTCCCCTCTACTCCCACCCCCCGCCGCTCGTGCAACGCACTTGAACTGGCAGAAGACGTCCGAGTAGTCGCTCTGCATGCCCATGCCCTGCAGGACGGTGACACGGAAGGTGAACTCGGCGCCGGGCGTCAGGTGGGCCGGCAGCTGCTCCTCGGCCTCCTTCTCCGAGTCGCCGCGGCCGCTGTCCGCGTCCGTCTCGCCGTCTCCTGATAGGGGGGGGGGGGGGGGAGGCAGGCGCTGTGACCAACATCGGTGCGAGCGACTTTAGCGAGTGTCATTTGAGCGAACGTCATTTGAGCGAACCATTTTCAGCGACTGGCAGCTTAGCGAATATCAAATTGAGCGATTATCAAATATAGCGATTATCAATGTAAGCGAAAGCTATGTTTCAGCGACATCTTTTTCGTCGACTACAGTTTGAGCGACTGTCATTTCAGCGAAACACTTCATCGTCCCGTAACGGTGTATTTTTTATTTTATTTTTATTTTGCGAACGTACGTACAACGAATGTTTCAGGAACTTTTCATGGTTATCCGGCACTGGATGGCGGATGTCACGTTCAAAGTTCAGACATTAAGCTCCAAATTTAATGCCACATTTCTAAAAAAATTCCAGCGGTTCGATTTAACCCCCCCCCCTGCTGTTTGCCAAAAATGATAATCAAACATATGTTCAGAGATTCATATTGCTTGTGCTGTTTTTCGCGAAATTCCCCCGCTTGAATTTGGATCAGTTCCCCATGCTGTACAATTTGTTCTTGCCCCAAGCAACGTACGAATTTCCAGATATTTGGGTGAGGTCCCTGAAACATAGACTAGATCCCCCTGTGGCGTCCCGCGAGTTTATTATTGGTCCTTGGCATTCCTTCCATCGTCCTATCACGTTCCACATTTCCAGATCAAGGTTGCAGAATGAGGCCAGATATTTTTGTGGTTTCCATTCTTAAAAGCAAATTTTTAATTTGCCGCACGCAGCTTGAAGCATGACACATACCAAGCGGGTATTCCAAGGGCAAGAATTTCCGAAAAGTAGCAAATGATTGACTTCCGTCGCGTTCGGTTTCGCTTTCGCTCAATTGGTCCCCCATTGACCTCCACATATTCGCTCAATCTGGTTTCGCTGATTCTGGTCCTCGCTTAAGTTGATAATTGCTGTGATTGAATTCGCCGACTTGACAATCGCTGAAAGAGTCAATCGCTTAAATTGATAATCGCTGAAAAGGCTTCGCTCAAATGTCGTTCGCTGAAATGACGCTCGCTCAGGTGTCGCAGAACCGACCAACATAGTTGGCGGCAGACTCTAATTTTGCAGTGCAGCCTCTACATTGGTTCTAAGGGCGCATTGTCACCTAGTCATTCCAAACAAAATTTTGTGAGTTGAATGGGCGTGCTCATTTCAGCAGGTATAAACACGGATAGGTAGCCTGTTCTTCAGCAGGAAAAAAACGAGCTCCGTAAGGTTGCTGAACCTTGCCCGCGCAAGAATGACAGAAAGTGAGCGCTCTGAGCCATCGACTCACGTGTGAGCGCGCCGGCCTCTACTGACGCGTCCTCTCCTAGTGGCGGCGGTCCGCGCGCGCCGGCCGGCCGTGCCGCCAGCTGGTCGTCGCTGAAGGTGATCCGAGCCGACTGGCGCACACCCGAGGAGCACTCCAACCCGTCCTCGTCTGAGAGAGGGGAGGAGGGGAGAGTTATAGAGGGAGACGAGGTGACGTATGGGTAGTATCGGACACCAGAGGAACACCCCAGGCTGTCCTCGTCTGCAGCGGGGGAGAGGAGGGCAGAGTTACAGAGGGAGACGAGGTGACACGCGGTCAGTACCGCACACGAGGGGGACACTCCAAACCTTCCCAGTCTGGAGGGAGGGGGGGCGCAGTGATGTGCGGCTTTTACCGCCGTAACTCACAGGACAACATAGAGCGAGCCCGGCGAGGTATGGGGCACTGTGATTAAAAGCTAAAAACAGAAAAAAAACAGAAAAACTGTACGAATAGCGAAAGGATAAAACAATCATCATGACACAGCGTTCGCTCAGTATACACCTTTGAAATGGAGTGTCACAATGACAATGCACCAAACTATACACAATTGCACTATTCAATGTTCAATAAGTGGCAATCTCAGTTCAATGACCTTATCAGACGTCTCGACCCGAGCACAACCCTATATGACTGGGCTCTTTGCTTGTCTGTTGATTGGATCATCAAGGCATGCCGACTACTGGGATCAATTTTGCGCACGTACCGTTATGCTGATTTAAGACGTGTTCATTACAAATTCTCTCTTGTAACAAGAGAGATCTGACTGGAGGTGAGAACAAAAAATCAGTACCTATGTAGGTTCGGGAAACGTTAAACCAGTAAGACGAGCATGCCGGAAAGTTAAAAAAAAAATGATTGAGAAAATGTTTACACATAAAACCGGGTTCAGGATAAAACCATCACCTAGCTGATCCCAGACCCCGCGCCTCCACCCCGTTCCCACTCACCCAGCACGGCCTGGACGGCCACGCGCAGGTAGCCCTTGACGTCTCCGTTACCGTTAACCACGGGCACCTTGTGTATGAGCGCCACCGGGTACAGCAGATTACTCAGGTAAACGAAACCTCTGGAGACAAAGCAGGGCGGAAATGCAATGGTGAGCGAACAGCTACAAGGTATCTAGTATTATATATGGATGAGGTATGTGCATTTATATGTGGCGATGACCTGCACTTGCTGCTATTTCAGTTATCAGTAGTGATCACAAATCACAAATGCAAACGATAAACTGACAAAAGCTCCCACTCCTCGTCCACCCGACCTTCCAACCCAATCACGCCCCCGCCCCTTGTCGCACCTGCCGATGACCCTGAACCAGGGGAAGCGGTCGTAGAACGGGTCGCCGCCGGTGACGTTGTCGACGCTGTGGTCCGGAGAGCTGGGGCTCAGATCCGCCTCGTTGTGGTACATCTCGCGCATCAGTTCCAGACGTTGTCTGCCCGGCCAGACGACGACGTCATTCGGTTTAGTCGGGGAGGGGCGGACTCTTCCGAGCATGCACGGTCAAGCAGCCGTCGTTTAATAGCCCGCCTCGGCTCAACCAACCAACTTCCGAGGGGGAGAAACCAAGCGCCAGACCACCGAGTCGCGCTAGCCCTCGTTCCGCGAATTGAACTATGATAGATATTATCTACTTCTATCCCGGCCATCAGAGGCCATCCAGCTCGATGATCACGATATAATGATCCGAGGAGGGGGACGGGGAGAACAGCGGGGTGTGAGCGGACATTCGTGTGATCGGATGTGGACACGCGTTATTAGGTTCGAAGCGAACTCAGATGGGAAGTTTGTAAATTTAGTAGGTATAGGGTACGTGCTTGAAAATTGATCAACCTTCATTTCAATACTATGTCAAACGTCACCCAAAGCGATATGTCAATAGCTGACAGTCGAGCCCTTGTTGCAGAGACAGTTGTATGCTGAGGTCATCGTCAGTCTGAAACATCTGCACTTGTAACAGCAATCAGCATGCAATGCTGAGGCAGGACGACACGTGCCAAAGACACCCAGCCCAGCAGGCATAAGAACACCCGGAACAGGCAAACTCGATTCACGCATGCTCAAAAGCAGCATCAAACCATGTAATAAATACACCACTGCTTTCACGAATTCACGAAAAAATACACCACTGCTTCACTTCTTGCTTTTGGTCGAGATTGGCATCACTGAAAAATATTTTCTATCGAAAAGTATTTTGACGCTCTTCAACATGTGGCGGTTTCAAATGATGAGATGGAAGAAGCACTAAAATGCGTTTGTTTTGCTGGGTTAGACCCTTTCAGTCTGACAGGACCATTTGAGAGCCGGAAGGATGCTAGGAATTAGGGGGAGACATTGGTCTGGGCAGGCACCCTAGAGAGTCGCCGGGGCTGAGCCCGTCCGAATGGACAGGCCGACCAGCCCCCCAAACACTCCCTGCACCCGGCTACGGGTGTGCTCCCTTGGGAGCAGCGGTGCCGCTCCAAGGGAGCAGCCCGCATGAGATAAGGTTTCCTGTCCAGGCCGGAGGGGGTTGCGGCGTGGAGAAGGATTTCAGCATCCTGATGATAGAAACGACGGAACGGGTGACTGAAATTTGTAAGCCGCCATGCTTATAGGTTCAAAAAGCTGCCACACGGAATATGGGCCCAATGTTACCAAATGCCGTGAATGCGCATTCACGGCATTTGGTAACATTCAAAACTATTCCACATTCACTTATTCTTTCGTTTAGGCAACATTCATAATCATTCGTGCTATCAAAATCATTGGACAACATTAGCTGGATGTAATGAAAAAGGATATCTTTGATATCAGTGCCGTGAACTGCGGCCAGTGCTACCAAATCCTATTCACGGCATTGGTAAGATTGGGCCATGGTTATACTTAGAAGTTAGAAGCTAGGTAACAATGGAAACTAGACTGAAAGTCGTCCTCCAATTATCTCAATTTTGACATGAACAACTGTAACCAACATTCATTATTTTTATTCGACGAGCTTTCCGCTGAATCTCCGAACTACGTGCTCGAAGTGCAGACATACGCGTAGGATGTCCAAACATGAACAAGCCATAGTTGAATTTACCCCAGGGCACACTGCAGTTTATCTATAGTCTTAGGTTTATCAAGCTAGAATCCTAATCTACAAAAACGCTCTGCAAGCGAGCGTTGAACAATATGAAAACAATATAAATACATTATTTCTTTACGGCTAACTATGAATAATTCGAAATCGATGAAGGGTTGCAGGTGCCTATATGAAACGCAATACAGCCCTTAAAAGAACAGCAAAACATTCTCCCAAAGCGTAAATGGAACAAGCTGCAAACCTTGGTGACCATCAGCCTTTCTGCAAAAGTGCTACAGGTCGCATTGGTCAAAACAACGCAAGAATGTCAACACGAAAGCGAAGAAAACATACGAAATCGGAAATGAATGTCCCCAAACCAAGCGATCAGCAAATATTCCTTCAAGGAGTGGTACTTTATGCTCGAGGCTGCACGATTAATCGAAATTTCATCCAAAATATTAGGCGCCCTATTGCTATGGATCCCTGCAAGGACTTTTCATTGGCGACCAGACATCCCGGTCAAATCTCGTGTGCAGCACTCGGCAAAGTTCCACCCCTGCGGCCGCTACCAGTTCCACGACACTCCAGCCAAGCCAGGCGGCCCCGCGGCGCGGCTGCGGCCCCCACAGCCCCGGCCGCTGCCCGGGCCGAGCCCACCCGTACGCTGGCGAGGCGGTGGCGGCGGCGGCCGTGGCAGCGAACGTGGCCGGCGCGGCCCCCTCGGGGCTCGGCAGGCAGACGTCCGACAGAGCCAGACTCCACTGGCGCGCCAGCTCCAGGCGCCGGCTGGAGGCGCGCGCCAGCGCGGGTCAGAAGAAGCGCGCGCGCCCGTCAACGGGAACGGAAGCCAGAGTGTGTGGCCGCGTGGGGAAGCACACAAGTGTGCCCCATCGCCTGTACCGACGGCTTTTAGCACCACTTGACACTGTGTCCATCAATTTTGTACATCGGCATGAATCGCAAGGTACTCAAAATCATCTTCATGTATGGTGAATACGAGCATTTCAAATACAAATCCATCAATTTGAATTTATGAGCGGGCCAACCAGAACTGGAAAAATTGACATGCATGGTATACTATGCATGTCAGCCGAAAGTAACTAGCATTGCAAAAAAAGATGTAATGCTTTATTTATCACGGCGCAAGAAATTTTCAGCGATCACTATTCATTGAAACCCACAATATTTATCGTCTCATCTACTCCTCGCTGACATGTGAAATGACATAAAGCTCTTGTATAATTGGACCGTTGAAAAGCCGAGCGGGAGTAGGTGAACTTTCTTTCTTTCTTTTTTATGCTGCGCATTATCGACTATCGAGACCAAAATATATAGCCAGGGCTACTAAGAAACTACATATTCAGAAACACACTTGATGAAAAGAGCCATAGACCTTGGTATACAGGTTTACGGAAGAGTCTACATCTGGCAGCATTCCAAGGTTCACGGAGCTATAATACGCCGTGAACCAGCAACACAGTGGCATCTCGCATGCCAGATAACTGGGCGAGGGAGAGCTTAAAGACCAAGAACAGAGAAGAACACGCCGAAAGACCTAGTGCAGAGAGAGCGAGCGCATATATAGAACAAACAGTAGAGCAAGCCCAGATAAATCGGCAATGCAGCAGCGGAGTGAAAACAACTAGTGGGAGATGTAGCAAAAGCGCTGAAATTGGGTCAAGCAGAAGAAGCGCATGAGTGAATTTGCGTCTACAGATGCTCTCATGCAGTGCAGACAGGGACTGAATTCGTCGTTTGTCCCCGATAGTCTCTGAAACGTCACCTAAAAGTATTTCTCATGAGCCAACATTTCGCATGAGAGAAAGAGCAAGCCCAAAAGCATGACGAGAGGAAACGACCATTCTGTAGTCAGTTCCCAGTCCCTAAAGTCAGCCGTCAAGAGTCCGCAGTCAGATGTTCAAAATCCCAAAAGATAAGCCCGAGCTTTTAAAAGCGATATGCCAATGTGTTGCGGTTGACAATCAATGCTGTCTATTTCGGACATTTCCACTTACTCCCACTATCGGCAATGCCAAAAACAATACCAACGGAATGTCTGCAGTTATTCTCGTCAGAGAAAGTACGCTTAACAGTGAGCGAACCCTTCAACAATTCTTACAATGTCCGTTTGCGACGACGGGATAAAAACGACGCGGCATCAATAAAAAAAAAACATTTAAAACCTCAAAAAGGCTTACATCACCCAAAACTGGTGCTAACTCACCACTCCCCAGCCCCTCCGTGCCGGTCCCCGAACCTACCGCAGTTTCTCGATGCTCCAGAAGTGTGTTGCTCCGTTCTTCTGGTCCTTGACCTCGACTGCGACGATGGTGCGAGGGTAGGGGCGTCCCTCGGCGGCCGCCTCCAGCTCGTCCTCAGCTGAGGGCGTCAGCTCAGCTGGCAGCGGGCTGTACATGGTGTCCGTCATCAGCGTGAACTGGAACTGGACCTGTCGCAGACCAAGGGGCAAAAGTCAGACCGTTCACCGTGGAGCCCGAGAGCCCGACGTAAGATTTTGCTGACGGCCAGACAAGGCTTGGCAATGTCCAAAAATTACATCACACACGGCTTTTGAAACAAAATAGAACCAGAGCATGGCGAACAGCTATTGGCCTGGCACCATGAAGTAGACATCTATATCGGTTGGGCCCTCAGCCCAGTCACCGGAATCTCAGGCAGACGCCCTTCCCACCTTCTTCTTGAGCTCGACGCTGATGGCGTTGGCCTCCTTGAGGAAGATGGCGTTGCCCCAGAGGTCGTCTCGCAGCGAGGTGAACTGGTGGTAGCGCCACTTCTGGAAACACGTGGCCGCCAGCTGGAAGTCGCGGTCTGTCCAGCTCACCTCGTTCTCAAACAGAGGATTCACTGAGAACAGGGGTACAGTCAAACATCGGCTTCACTGACAACAGGGGTACAGTCAAACAGCGGGTTCACTGACAACAGGGGTGCAGTCAAACAGGGGGTTTGCTGAGGACGGAGAAGGCACACAAACAAACAGGGGGTTGAGTGTGAGTAGGGGCGACGCATACAGGTGACTCGAAGGACGAGCCAGTGTTTCACACATTACTTTCTGGAAAATATCGCAAACGCTCAACATATGTAGCGGACACTGGTTGTTGAACAAATATAAACACTCTGATTGCAATTGAAAGTCCGCCTTTGATTAAGCTTAGCGTTATGAGGAAAATCATTGTTATTACGGTATGAGTCATTTGACCTTATCCTCAATCCTTTAAGTAAAATGTGATGGCAAAAATACAATATAAAAACGATATATTTCTAGCACTGCTCTTTCTCAATCGGTTCGCAGGTTAGTATAAGTGCAAAAAAGTCCGTCTACCAAAAGGGATACAGTAATATAAAAACGATATACTTCTAGCACTGCTCTTTCTCAATCGGTTCGCAGGTTAGTATAAGTGCGAAAAAAAGTCTGTCTACCAAAAGGGATACAGTCGACCTCTCCTCTCTCACCGTAAACGTCTTCCTCCGGCGCGAAGTCGTCGGTGGCCGTGTAGGACGAGTACATGGACATGGTCATCGTCTGCTCCTCCACCTGCTTCTGCAGTGCGTCAATCTTGGCCTCGTAGTTCTGTCAACACAGACACACCGGGGTTAGCGAACGGCTCGGTCACGCAGGCTGGTCATGGCATGAGCATTGAGTACCCGGACAAACGAGGCTGGCGAACAAGGGAAACGCTACAGTCTGGCAGCCCTCCGAGAACACAGTAAATAACTGGTCAGCAGACAGTCTGTCCGCTGTGAATGAACTAGCAGTCACGGTTTCCCTAGTTACTGTCGGCTACTCTCACCTTCCGCTCCTTCTCAAACTGCAGTTTGCTCTCTTCTTTCTCCTTTTTAAACTGCTCCTCCATCGCCTCCAGACGCTTCTCCATCTCCTTCTTCAAGTCGATGCCTGAGGAACACAAAGACAGCGTTTGAGTATCAGCATTATCCGCAGTGAGTTTACACTTAACAGGTAAGATAAATCTGTCAGCTCTCAATGTAACGGAACGTTTGTCACATATTCATAGTTGATATGAAGGCAGTGATATTTGTCGGAAATGACAAATGAAAAAAAAATAAACGCCTCAGGTCGTGACTCCCTCATTCATCCGATCCGTGCCCGCAACACCTTGGTCTTTCATTCAGCATCACCTATCAATTCCCTCCCCATACACTCCAAAACGTACCCTGTTTTTCGAGTAGCTCCAACTGGGCAAACTGCCAGTCAACCGACTCGCTGCTGGGAGTTGTCTCTCGGCTGGGGGACTTCTCCCTCCGCTCACGGGCTGCCGAATATCAGAGGCACGTCACAGTGAAGCTCACACAGGCGGCGAAGAAAAGACATCAGGAAAGACTTACATGAGCGAGTGAAACGTTTCGCAAACAATTACTAATACCCTCGTACAAATGGCATCACTGTGATTTTTCTTTTCAACATTCTGATACACTGATCACAGCAAATTCTTGCTCGTATATTCAAAGCCCCACAGGCATTGCCCTCACCCCGGCAGTCCTTTCCGACAATCATTGCCCAGTAGCTCCGGTCTCAGCCGCTAGCTGTACAGTGTGCACTGTGCAGTATCGAGGCTCCGGACGTTTTTAACAGCCGCCACTCACCCTGTTCGGGGTGGTTGAAGCGGAACACGTGGTTCTTGCCGAGGATGACGCGACTGCCGGTCCTCAGCACCACCGGCTGGGTGATGGTCCGCCCATTCACATAGCAGAGCGCGCCGTCATTGGGTATCAGCATCACCACGCCCTCCCTGTGGCGGCGAGAGGGGCGCGGGGCGTCAGGGAATGGGAGTCAAACGGCGCAAACTAAACGCAAAACCGGCTTTTCCAGCGGACAATTTCGGCGCAGATGCGTGACACACAAAAAAGAAAGCAAAAAGCGGCTGTAAAAGAGGTGAAACTGAATATCGAGTTTCATTTTGTTCACACTCGTTATCACCTCTGGTTAGTGGATACTCACACCAATCCAGTTAACATCTCGTCGTCACCAGCTGTCATAAGCTGACCTGACGCCGTCACCGACCTGTTCTCGAAGATGCAGTGCTCGTTGTAGATGTGCGTGCCGATCAGCTGGATGTCCTGCGGGATGTTGGCCTCTGCCGAGCCCACGCGCGTGATGCCCTCCTTGATGTAGTATATGAGACACTCGGACATGGACGGGTCCTCGTTCAGATTCACCAGGTGAGGTGTCTGGGGAGGCGGTGGAACGGTCAGATCCGTCCAACCAGGCAGAGATAGATGGTGGTTTGGGGGACGGTCATCATTATCCCTTCTTGGGTGAAAAAAGACGGCCATCAGGTCAGCAGGAAGAAAGAGGAAGAGGTGGAAAAAAGAAAAGTATAAGTTTAACCCTCGCCCATGTAGGGGGGGTTGGTGCAACCCCCCCCCCTGAGGTTTTTCGGAAATAGTGCAAAAACGGCGGCGCGCAGCGCCGCCAAATTTTGGGTACCTTATGGGGCAAACCTTGCGCATCTTTTGATAAAAAAATTTTGACCGGGTCATGTCAGGTCACGGAGTTATGACGTCACAAAGGGAACAGCCTCCGGCCGGATTTTCACAAACTGAGTGCCAACGCCCGAGGTTTCCTGCCGGTGGTACGGACATCGGTTGATGGATCGTGATGAAACTTCCCATGCATGTTGGGGCAAGTATTGGCTATCATATGGTATAAGAAACTTGACCGGGTCAGGTCAGGTCACGGAGCTATGACGTCACAAGAGGAACAGCGTCCGGTACTATTTTTGAAAAGCGCCCGAACCACTATTTTGCTAATTCTTGTCACCTCAATGGGAAGATGCAGCAATATTAGCTTCTATAGGGAGCAAATGGACATCCCAAATCCAAAAATACAATCAGATTTCAAAAATTTAAATTTTGATTTTTCGAATTTCTGCCGCCGACTGTGACCTTGCCGACTTCCGGCGCTCCCAACGCGCCATTTTTAGAGCTAGGGAAACGAAATACATACCAAACGATAGAGAATTGATCAAGAAACACGATAGTGAAGGTTTCAAGTCGATATCTCCCACCGTTTTGCCGCAATCGCCGCGGAAAATTTGAAAAAGTCTATTTTTCCGAAAATTTGACCTTTGACCGGTCAAAAGTAGGTCAAATGTTGACCTAGGACCAAAAAATATACCACCAATCGCGAGATCTCGGCGAGAGCAATCCGTTGGTCTTTTCCGCTAAGCTCTACGACGCTCCGTTTTCAAACGCCAAGGGGGGGGTCGCACCAACCCCCCCCCCCTGCATGGGCGAAGGTGGCAGATCGCCGTTTACGGGCGAGGGTTAATGAAAAGGAGAGTAAGTTGGAAGGGAGAGACAGTGAAGAAAAGAAATGACTATTAACTAGAGAGAGCAAGAGAGGAGAGAGAAACACTTAGGAAGACAGCGAGAGATGACAGTTTTCTACAATTTCCCATTTATTGTGCGACACGCCTTAAGCTGCGCTCTTAGACAGCTAGCGACATTCTTTCTACCAAGTAACGTAATATCACAAGCCCGACACTCTCCAGCCCAGTAAACAGCCTTGTTGACAGTGGGTTTGGAGCGCTGGCGCCGGTGCGGACAGCAGTAAAGCCGTCCACCGGGGATTCTTTCCACTCGGGACCCGGCAGTGACCGGAAAAACACGCACCCGGCGAGCGATTTCTCGACAACACACTTTGGCCGTGCCCGGCGGTGATGATACTAAAGAGTGGGTAAGCTGCGCATCACTCCGGTTGGGAGGAAACTACGTGCACTCTGTCTCGCCCCACTAAACGGTGAGCACCTCGCCCGTTTCAGTGAGGAGATGCCTTTGTCGCACTCCAGTAAAGGGGGTCGACCTCATATTCTGTTTTGATGAGAGGGTGGATGTTTAGCCCCGTCCAGATAAAATGGTCTGTTTTGGTGAGAACATACCCTTGTCTCACTCTGGTAAGCGGAGACGAACATCTCACCTGTTTCGGCGAGAAGATGCCCACCGTCTTGCCGTCCTCCTTCAGAGCGATACCCATCTCAGCGAACACCGTCTCCCGGTACTGACGCACGTCATCGGCGCGCTTCAGCTTCTCCTCCCAGGTCTCACTGAGCTCTGGGAGGTCAGGGCAGGTCAGGTCAAAATCCTGTGATCGTCTAGGTCTCACTGAGGTATGAGAGTCCAGGAACGGTCAGGTCAGGTCGGGTCAAAGAAGTGCAAGGAAACTCCAGATTTCTCCATGTTTATCTCAGATTTGCAAGTTCACACTAGATAAAGTAACGGAAAATAGCACTTGGACCCCGGGTACCTTCGGCAGTCAACCTCAGAACTGTTTCACTGCCTTCAAGAACAGTCCCCTTTACAAGAAAAAACATCAGGTTTGGTGCACATCTTCCGACATCAATCAGCTCCTCCTAAGCCGGTCCGCCCAGTCTTGTCCTGTCTCTCGATGAACCAACCTGCCATGATTTTCTCGTTGACTTGCAGCTGGTGGACGGCATCCTTGGTGACATTGCTGGTACCGCTGGCCTCAGCCGAGCCCTCCTCGGCAGCCGAATCTGAGAGAGACGGACAGACATACAGTCAAAGACGGCATACGGCCGAGCCCTCGTCGGCAGCGGAATCTGAGAGAGACGGACAGACATACAGTCAAAGACGGCATACGGCCGAGCCCTCGTCGGCAGCGGAATCTGAGAGAGACGGACAGACATACAGTCAAAGACGGCATACGGCCGAGCCCTCGTCAGCAGCCGAATCTGAGAGAGACGGACAGACGTACAGTCACAGACGGCACCAGCCAGGCAAACACGTCGACCATGTGATTGACGCCACGAGAAGGCTCGCGAAGGCCCGAGACAGACCGACACAGACGGACGGACAGACGGACAGACAGACACAGACAGACGTACAGACAGACATGCCGACGGCATCTCCGACAGACACACCAGCTGCTGTCGGCGGCGACGCAGGTAGAGTGATCTCGGGACAGGCAGCGGCAGCAGCAGACGGACACGGATGATCGGCCAGCAGCAGTGGCAGCATCAGTCGGTATTCCAGTAGTTTATGGTCAGTAGTCATTTGCAGTTGTATTAGCAGTGGTCAGAATCTAGCAGCCAGATGCACCAGCAGCGATCAACGGTCACAGGTGGAATGGATCAGCAGCGGCACCCAAGAGTTCAGCGTTGAAAACGGCTCGGTTAACCAGCAGGCAGTTAGCAGTTTCGGGCGCCGAAGGAAAAGCTCCGTCAGCATGACCATTCGGCCGGACAGTAGCGGGGAGAAGGGGGGGGGGGGGTCGTTCCCAGGGCGGAGAAGGCTCGAGATGTCGCCTAACGAGTTGTGGACACCCGTGTCAAAATCGGCCCAAACTTGTTCAGCCAGTGAAAATACAAGCGGCTGTCAACGATTTCACATATGCAGTGGAGTATGAATATGCCACTACACTGAATATCCAACTAAACAGACCAGACACCTACAATATCGAGCTGCTATCTTATCATAAAGCGCACTTACCATGTTAAAAATACATAATTAACAGCAATCAAAAATGTGTTATTTCGGAAAACACCTCCGCAGTATCTCGTTTTTCCTCAGCTTTCCTGCAAAGTATAATTTAACAGTAAATCCGACTAAAAAATAATCAAATTATGTGCCTCCGGACGTCACGACGCTAACTGGAAAATGGACGATTCGACAGAGCCTTTGAGACATTAATGCACCGCCGTCTCACAGCGTCAAAGGTACGCCCACGGAGCAGCGTCGCTGGTGACCGGGAAGCCATCGGCCGGCCTGCCGCCGGATATAACTGGCTCACAGTGGGTGAGCGGCGTCCCTCCACACAGAGGAGGCGCCCCCGCCCACTCTACCAGGGCCTCTGTCGGTGTGAGCCAAGCACGTGGCGTCTGGAGAGGCGTCCGTGACCGCCTCAGATCGATCGGCGGTCGGCAGTGCCGACAAAGTTAGATAGACGGACAGGCAGACAGACAGACGGGCTGGGCGGACGGACAGACGGACAATACGGCTGGGCGGAAAGATACGGCGGCTGGACGGACCCAAAGACACGCTGGCTGGGCGGACGGATAGACATGGCGGCTGGGCGGACCAACAGACAACAGACAGCTGGACGGAAAGACAGACAATCCGGCTGGACGGACAGACAATGCGGCTGGACGGACGGACGAAGTACGATAGACGAACCCACAGACAACCCGGCTGCACGGACAATCCGGCTGTGCGGACGAACAGACATGGTAGCTGGACAGACAGACGCAGGGAAATGTTCCGCCAGGCTGCACTACGGATTGTCCTACTGCAATCCGACTGGTAATGGACAGATCCGTGAGACGGGAGACTGGCGTGGGCGGCAAGACAGGCAGTAAGCCCGGGGTAAAATCCGTGAGACGGGAGTCAGGGGTGGGCGGCACGACAGGCAGCGTGTCTCGAGTAACCAGCCGCAAATCCGGCTCATCGTGTCCGGCCGGGCGTAAAGGGTGGGCTTTGTCTAATGATCAGACGGATGATGACGTCAGAGGGCTGGTCGGTGCGTCAGGAAACAAAAACGAGAGGGCGGTATTTCAGACCAGCGAGATACTGCGTAGTTCGGAGTTATGCCTTTGAGCATCCAAACGTTGTCCGATTTCCAGGGACCTGATGAAACTTGGCCGGGACGAATGTCACAGAGAAAAATCCTTAAGCAACAGAAGGCCGTGCAATAAACGTCTGTTCCAGCGTGCGTCACAGCTGCATCAGTTTCTTGGACCTTATCCAGGGAACGGTCCGGACAACTATTCAATATAAATCCGCCAGGACGAGATTTTCAACCTCTTCAGTCGCCTGAGGAGCAGTAAAGTAGGAGTATGTCGTGCCCCTATTATCCAACTTTACCACCAACGAGTACCAAAGCCCGTGATCATGCGATAAGCACGTGCGACCCTGTTCCAGTCATACCTCTGCTCTATCGATTGCTCCGGTACTTACATAACCTACAACGACCAACCGTTCGACGCTGGAGAAAAGACCGCAGCCTCCGCGCCCCACCGCGCTCGAGCTGTACCCGGAAGGCTAACCCCCCACCTCTCAGCTGTCACTGGGCGCCGCCGGAGACTGGTTAGCAGTTACGACCGGCAGGCGGTCCCACATCCAATCCACGGGGACGTCCAGACAGATGAAACGCCGGACCCGGCAGTGGCGAGTCGCGGAGCAATCTACACCGTCCCACCGCGCCGACCGCGGGTACAGGATCACGAATTCAGACGGCACGTGAAACTTTGAAACTGAGCTGATCATTTCCTTATTGTGAAGTTATTTTAATTCGCTCCTTTCTGCTGATTTAGATAATGTCATAACGAAGTCCACAGGCGATGAACATACCCAAATAAGCACACGTCGACAACGGACATATTGGGTAGTGACGAAGAGGCAGACAGGCTCGAGTATTTACAGTGAGTCAGGGGTCACAGTCCCACGTAGACATGTGCGTGTGCATCACTGGCGAGTCGATGGCGTGAGTCACGAGCACGCAGACTCGTGTGAGTGCTGGGTAGCGGGAGGGGTGCCAGCCAGTCGATACCATGTGTCACACAAATCACTGGCCATGGGGCGGGGTGGGGTGGGGTGGAGGGCGGTGGCTGGGGTCGCTGCACATTACCACAGGCCAGGCGTCCCAGTATCGGGGGAGGTGCGAAGGGCAGCGCGCAAAGCAAGCAGTGAGGACGCAAAGTCCAGCGAGCGGTGAAAATTCCCGAAGCCAAGAGCCAGCACCTGCACCAGACACGTCTAAATCAAACTCAGACAGCTGGGTTAGTAGAGGCCAGGCGGGTTACAGCGGGGTCGGACTAGATCGTTAGACAAAATGGGGGGAGCTGTGATCGGCGGCAGACCACCACCGGAGGCCCCAGAGCCGGGGATAGACCTCCGACTCAGCGGCAGAGAGGGAGCCGAAGCCCAGCAGCTAGAAAAGCCCCGGACAGTGCACGCCGGCAGGCAAAGACTGCTTGTTAGTGTCAGGCCGGCTACTTACTCGACTTGGGCTTATTATTGGAATAATTAACGGTCCCGTCTGAAACCAGGCGAGAGCCCTGTCAGATCGGTCGACATAAGAACTGCCGTTGCCATGGCAACACACACCACCATTAGCGAAGTCAAACCATTATCATATCCAGATTTCAGGATATGAATAATGTATGACAATTGCTTAAAATATGAGCTGATCAAAATAGAAAAAAGCCCACTTTTTGTCCGATGCACTCGCTTTATCAGTTCTTACAACGCATCATAGTCAGGAGGGCGACGGTAATTTAGTCATATCTGTTATCGCAGGTCGATCATGCCAATAATGGGAAGGGGAAAACTAACAAAGACACATAAAACAAATCAACATTGGCCGCTATTGGATCCTTTTCGAAGCCTCTCTGGCAGGCCATCCAAAAATAATACAATAGTGACTTAATATTTTGAAAAATAAATAAATAAAATATAACCCAGATCAGGTCTTGCATGCCTTAGGACGATCAAAAGGGTAAAAACATTCATGAGCAAGACAAAGACAGAACTGTCAGGACGGCCAGATGGCTGAGACTTTTGCTAAAATGAAAACTTTTACTAAGAAATCAAAAATATTTGTATCGGTTATTTACAAAAAAAGACATGGGGCATTATTTCACTAACAATAAAAAGAGCATTTGATAAACTGGATGACGGAAACGCCTCAAACCCTCCGTCGCCCGGTTTTCGTTAAATCACACGGAACAGATGTCACACGTCCCGGCCGCACTCCGCCGCTGACTCACCCGAGTCCACCTGGATGCCCTCGACCTTGAGCAGGTCGTGCAGCCGGCTGATCTCCTCCCGCAGCTCTCGGATCAGCTTGGCGTTGGCGTCCTCATTCACCACAGCCTTGCAGACGATCTGCTTGGCACGGTCCGCGTACCTGTCAGCGTGGCCAGAGAGGAAAGTGAGAGCGAGGTCCAGATAGGAGGTGCCAATATTGACTGAGGGGTGTCGCTGTGAGATTGGCCTCTGCCAATAGGTCCGATTAAAACATGTAGGTATCAATGACTCACTAGGAAGTATGGTTATCAAATTAAATAGTTATAGAAAACTCCCAGCAAAATACAGTGAACAGAGCGATTTTGTTATGATAATAAGCTGAGCAGAACATGTGAACTACGTCATGCATCCCGATTCCCTACTTTTGAACATATTCCCTATAGCTGCCGTAGTCACTGTCTACGAAAACAAAATTATTTTGAGAGCCTCGGCACCTCTTCTGCACGCATTAATACGGCAGAGCTACATGCAAACGACTGTATGCAAACGACGAGCTCAGACCGCGGTGAGCTCCCTAACGTATTCACTCGGCACTGTCTTAACCCCTACCAGCATCATCTCCGACAAAACTAAGTCGGGTCACGGCGAATCAACAAAAACTGCAATAAATCAGCAACAGTGGTTGTTTTCGAGGGCCTACTCTGTCGCAATAACGCCAGCAAAACACACACCAACAAATCGGCACACACGGCTGAGCCCGACTATTAGTCCGAGAACTATTCCCACTTTGACTTCCCGTCCCGGGTCTCACCGCAGCGTGGAGAGCGTCTCGTCGTAGTTGATGTCGGCCGGGGAGAGGGCGGCCACCATGGCCGTCTTGCTGTTGCCGCCCAGGTTCTCCCGCAGCAGCCAGGTCAGCACCGAGTCCCGGTACGGGATGAACTCGGCCTTCTTCTTCTTCTTGGACGCCTGCGAGGACGGAGTGGGTCCGCTCAGCACAGAGAGCGATTGGTGGTTGAGCTAGCACGGGAGTTTAAACAGGGTTTGAAACGTTAAGGACATGCGCGCAAAGTTCATTTTTCCACGGAAGACATGTTATCTATCGAGGACAATTGTTAGGCAAGGTTTTACCAAAATTAAAAATCGAATGATATTCACTTATCATTCATCAAGAACACTTATTCTTAACATCAGAGTGGGTAAACCTGAACAAAACTATATATTTTTAGCATACGTTATGCATATTTCATATCGCATCTTTGCGAGTTGTGACTTACCGGAGCCGACGACTGCAGCGTTTAAAACAAACACTAAAATTAGCAACATCACAAACTCCACCAAATCACCAACAAAGCAAACATTATGAACATACACAATCGGTAGCGATGGGATAAAGCGATGTAGATCCCCTTATCGCATCTCTCCCAGCCTCATCCTCTCTTCATCGCACACAAGTCACACGCCACTTGCCGTATCTCCCTCCCTCCCTCCCATTCACCCATCCAGTCCACACACTGGAACCAATCTGCCCGAACCAAGAATAGCCCAGACTCGTACAGGGCGTGACGTACTGTCATTAACCCGCACAGACCAATACGCCGGCATTGGCAATGGTCCACTAAAAACGACACGGCACTACACCAGCCGACGGTGTACCGGTGCACCGAGAAAGGCGCCGATAAAAACTAAGTGCACCCTGACGGTCGGAGCAAGCAATATTGCAAACGCAAAGGAGCATAAATGCATTTTCGTCTTTAGCCGTGGTGAATTAAGATAAGTTTTTAAATTGGACAAGCACAATAACGCCTGCGACCAACGAGTCCAACCCATCTAACCCGATCACGAAGACAATATGACACTGGAACCACAAACATCCAGCACTTCAGAACGCCCACCTGCCACACGATGTGCTCACGCCCTGTACCCCACCGACAGCACAGCCATCCCCGTACTCAGTCCCCGGCCACCCTCAGCGTGGACGGTACTCACCACTTCAGCAAGTGCCGAGATGACCTTTCCGAGGGTGGTCAGCGACTTGTTGATGTTGGCTCCCTCCTTCAGCCGGGTGCCCTTGGCTCCGGTCGAGTCAGCTCGCTCCGACCCCGCCAGGTCAACCAGCGAGATCTTGCTGACCTGAGGCACCGCAGAAGGGTCAGCAGGGTCAGAAGGGAGAGGCTGGTATGTGCAATGTGCATGACGAAGGGAGGACTGTTAGAGGCGATAGAACGGGACGGCGAGTCCCATACATCGCACACCGCACAGCCTTGCAGCTCTCAGGAAGCTGCTCGGTTTTACGACCCCATTGGCCACTAAACGACGCATTTGGGTTTCGGTGAATGGCCGAAATGGCCGGAGAGGGCCGACACTGACCTTTGTCTTACAGACGACCCAAAGAGGAAACAGGATCGAGGGCCGAGGGAGCATATCCCACTACTAAGACACATTTCGCACAATATAGACTGAATGGAAAACGGAGCTGTGGTAGAGCTGAGACAGTGACATGATCGTACTCAGTGCTGAGCCGAGACGACGTCCCTGCTCAGTTTGAAGGCTGATCGTCCGAGTAGTTACCTTTTCCGAGGTGAGGTCGGTGGCCGCGTCGTACTTCCGCTGCGTGAAGATGATGGTGAAGACGGCGTGGGACCGGCTGGACGTCTCGTTCATGTTGGTGGCAGCCACCGTCCTGTGGGGCGGCGGCGGAAACACGAGACGTTACATGGCACTAAGTCGAGCCACAACGCACAATAAAGTCAGTCAGCGAACTAGAACATCTCAACACAAATGCGATAAAACATCAGAAAACCTATACTGCTGTTCGTTACCATCGCAATACTCAAGAATGACAGCTACCGGTTCGCAAATGATCTTCCAAACGCACTTCCTAGAGCTTCAAGCTTAGGCTGACTGACCGAATACCGCCGCACCTTGGTGCTATCAAAGTCTGCTCTCCCACGCTCGCCCCCTTCCCTCCACGTTCAGATGCTTGGTTTGCCCCTTTCTCAGTTACTCCTCCCGCTCCTCACCTGGCCTTGTTGCCCTCGTCCATCAGGTCTCGGATGTCTTCGTACGCAGTCACCGCCAGCTTGGAGAGGTCCTCCACATAAGGACCGAGCAGCGGGTGTTCGCGCACCCGCAGGTGGTTCTTGTTCTTGGGATTGAGCAAGTCCCTGACGCGCTCGCAGTATATCTCCATGTAGCTCACCTGTGGGTACAGACCGGGGAGCGATCCGTCACTCAATGAGAGAGCAATGGCCTCGCAGCGCGGATATGGATCTCATAAATCTGCTAGGAGATGTATCGGGGTTATAGATGCATGACTGAGTGGAAATATGACATTTGTTCGAACGGTGCGGGAGAGAAGGCCATCGAGCCACTCCATTCAATGAACTTAAAAAAAAAAACGGCAGCGTAGTGCGTCACCATTTTTCCAGCAATTATTACATTGTCAATTATGCATACGATGTAAAAGTTTGGCAGGAGTTGTGATGTCGTAGTTAAGTAGCTTTATGACTGGAGGAATCTCCGAAGAGGAAGCTGCATGCACTGTTCCCGGTAAGACGCCACAAAAGTACTCCATTCCCATGGGTTCATACAGCAGCACCACGAATATCCAGCGTGCGTCTCAAAGGACGTCTTCCCACTCTCCCCAGTCCCCGCCCGGACCCCCCCCCCCCCGGAAGGTGACCCCGACTGACCTCCACCGAGTACTGCGCCTCCGGCTCGGCGTCGTTCGAGATGCGCTGGAACAGGTTACGGCAGATCCGCGGGATGATACCCTCCTGGTCACCATCCGGCTTGCCCATCATCGTGTACGACTTGCCCGCGCCCGTCTGGCCGTACGCGAAGATGCAGACGTTGTAGCCTGAGGGGACAGTGGGGAGAAATCCGTCAGACGGTCGGGTAATGAGAGTCAAAGTTGTTCCTACAACGCACACATTTCCGCACAAAAGGACTTCTCGGTGGCGATTGAAGGCCGATAAAAGCCTCGCAGACAGAATAAAATATTCCGTTTGTGCTGTTAAACGTAAGGGTCGTTTACATTAATGCTACCGCAGACTTACAAAAGCCGCGGGCGGTGTTAACATTGCGTACCTTCGAAGGCGTGGTCGAGCATCTCAACACCGATATCCTGATAGACGCGCTCCTGTGATGCGAACTGCGGAGCGGCCGGCTGCGGCAGGTGGAAAGGGGGAATGCTCTGTCACCGAAAGGCAGAAGGGTTCGACACAGGGCGGCACACAGGTCACACACATGGTGTACGCCAAGCGTCGCCTGCAAACGGCAGCCATCGGGAGCCGGTGGAACAGAAAAGCGACAGCCATTGAAACATATAAGGAGTATAAGGAACAGGAAGCGCGGCATACTTCAAGTCGTCATCTTGTCAGAGTAGTCTGTTGTTTACCATCGAGACTTGTGTGCGTCAGGAGAACGTCTCACTGACAGTGTTCCCTAGGGCTGATACGCTGCTCAAATTTGCTCACTCAATGCTCATTCACTAAATCCCGCTCAGTCTTACGAGTGGCCATATCAGTGATGAAATGAAATGAAATAACATGTCCTACTGCGTAATACGGACTATCTCTGCCTCGAGTGCAGTGCAGTGCAGGCCCGCCCGGATCTATGCGCACAAAGGCGGATCAAACTGGGCCGCGCCCGCTCGTTGAGAGCTCCAGGGTTGACCTCTGCCCGGGGCGGCTCGATAGCTCTCTGACCGGGGGCGCGTCCCGTACCGCTGAGAGCGGCAGTGTGCCGCAGTGACCGACGGCAGTTCGGCCGGGACAGTGACCGGCCGACCTCAGTGGCACCGCACCGGGGGGACTCACAGCTCCAGCGGCGGCCGTCTGGGAGCCAGCCGCGGCGGCGGTCCGCCGGCCCTGCGCAGAGCCGTCAGAGGCAGAGACATCGCCGGCAACATGGAGGAGCTGCTGCCATATTCGGTAGGTTCCCACCGCGGGGTTCCGTGCCCCAACACAATATCTCTGAACACATTCAGGTCCGAGCCTAGACACATTCAGACCCGTTTACGTTGGCCTGTTATCAGCTGTGGCCGAGTTCACGCAATGAATGATCGCAGTACAGGTAGGTACTGCGATAGTAACCAACTAAGAAATACCTAAAAATGTACCCAGCTTTGTGTTGACCAAGGCGATGACACTTTGGGTAGCGCTCAGGTGAACACTGGACGTGCCTGATAAGTTGTATATCGACATGGTCTTTCCTATTTCTCGAATAAGTTGTATATTGGCATGTTCTTTTCTATTTCTCGAATATGGTTAGAAGAAAAGTTACTTCTCACTGGTTTGAAAGATCATTTCAACGATTTCAATAATACCTACACATAAATATCAAGCTCGACCCATGGGAGGAGCGAAAAATTGTCGCGTAATTTCAGCCAGTGTGCAAGTTCTGGCGTTAGTTCACCGGACACACAAAAATGTTTTTCATTATGAGCCTATCTCGATGGCGATCAATTGAGCCAAATTGAGCTCGTACATCAGTCATGTCGAATACGAGCCAATAATTTGACCAATCACTATCAGGCACAATTGATACCAGCATCACCCTCCATTACCGTTCTGCAAATACGTCATTAGTTTGTGTTAGGTAGCCAGCGGCAATCGTCATGCGAGGGTGTAGCTGACATACAGTAAGCGGACATGGAGTGTGAGAAAAGAGCTGAATTCGGCCAAACTAAATATTACCGCTCTAATAAAGAAAGTCCAAAACAAAACTGCTATAAAGCGCACCTGACATTACCACTAGGAAGGATATTTCTGATTGATCGGATGCAATCGGACTGATCCGTACGATTACTCTAATAGCCCTTAGCTCTCCCCATACCAGTCCACTCGATATAACAAAGAACCTCCTCGCCTGTATGCGCCTATACTAGCTCCAGCCGCCGCAAGCAAACCTCATTGCATTTTCCGCAAATACTCCGCTACAAAAACAAGCTTTAAAACAAAAACAAACCGGCAGAAGCAAACAAACCCTTGCTTTCGTCCTTCTCATATACTTTGCGGGCACATTGTGATCAGCAGAAAAACGGTGCATCAAAGAGAAATAATGAAAGTGATGGGTGGTACGGTGGCTGAAAAACAAAGGACTGACAAAAAGTGTCTCACATCCCACGGTTCGTCGGAAGGTCATCTCAGGCTCAAAAGAAACGATATACCATTCGAAAGCTGACGGTGAGCTGAATCCAAAAATGTAATTTTTATCAAAATCGATCGATGGCCTTTTTTGAAAATTGCGTTTTTGTAAAAACTTAATAATCTTTTATTCAACGGGCTGTCCCGGACATTCTTGAAAACATAAACATGTATTTTTGAGTTCCAGTGAAAGCTGAACGCCAAAAGAACAATATTTAGCGAAGCAATATTTCCAAACATTAATATGCGTCTCCCACAGCCGACAATAAGGCGCAATCACACAGTTCAGTGTCACGATGGACCAAAGTCAGCCACACAGAAGCGTGAAATGACCCTTATCGACTCGAAGACCCGGCGCTCTCGGCCCGCCTGACCGGCCACGGAAAGAACGTTCGGCTCTCGTTCTACTAAACAAATGGCATATTTGTCAGTTTAACTGTCCACATCGCTATTAAAGTTATTCAGGATACCTGTGAAGAAAATTCATTGTTCTGTCATCTTCACATCATGCATTAATTTGCATTTGTTCATGTCTACTTTGCTCAATTGAGCTTGGTATCATGCCCATATAAGGAAAATTGGCCGCGCTGAAATGTCAGAGGTTGCACCGGCCTCAGCTCGGGTGGAGTGGGGGTAGCGCCCGGCGGGGCAGGGTAACCTTTGACCGGTCGCACGGCCGAGCAGCTGTCACCAGTACAGCCTCTGACAGTGAAACCCCGCTCACTTCCCCTGCGCGGGCACTGATCGCAGCTGGATGGAACAAAACATGTATAAGAAAAATGTAAATTAAAGCATGTTGTAAATCAAGTAGAACAATGAATTTTCTTCACAGGTATCCTGAATAACTTTAATAGCGATGTGGACAGTTAAAGTGACAAATATGACATTTGTTTAGTAGAACGAGAGCCGAACGTTCTTTCCGTGGCCGGTCAGGCGGGCCGAGAGCGCCGGGTCTGCGAGTCGGTAAGGGTCATTTCACGCTTCTGTGTGGCTGACTTTGGTCCATCGTGACACTGAGCTGTGTGATTGCGCCTTATTGTCGTCTGTGGGAGACGCATATACATGTTCGGAAATATTGCTTCGCTAAATATTGTTCTTTTGGCGTTCAGCTTTCACTGGAACTAAAAAATACGTGTTTATGTCTTCAAGAATGTCCGGGACAGCCCGTTGAATAAAGTATTATTAAGTTTTTACAAAAACGCAATTTTCAAAAAAGGCCATCGATCGATTTTGATAAAAAATACATTTTTGGATTCAGCTCACCGTCAGCTTTCGAATCGTATATCCCGTTTCTTTTGAGCCTGAGATGACCTTCCGACGAACCGTGATCCACTGAACTGATATAAAGGTACCATCTTCTCGGCATTGGCAACGAGCTGCACTTTTGTGTTCACCAAAGGACAGTTGGAACTAATAGCAGGTCCATACATGAATGGATGAACTCAACCCTACTTATACGACTAAACCACGTTCCAAACAAATGTACCGATACGTGTGAATCGGGCCAAAATACCTCAGCTATGACTTACAAGTGCATGCTCGGTAAGAATGAAAGTCGGTAATCGCCTCACTTCAAAACACGACCCTGCGTGTAAATACAACAGTAGCCGTAGTCTGGAAGGAAAATATGATATGGATATCGTTACATCAGTCATTCTGGTAGGTCAGTCGGCTCCTAAAGGTCCCGTTCTGTCAACTGTGTTGTCACTCGTACTATCATCTCCTGTCGCTGTCACTAGCCCGCCGACGCGCTGAAACTGCAGGCCGAGGCGGGACAAAAGGGCCGGTAGTCTGGGGTTGCACCTGAGACACACCGATTCCATTCCCGAGCGAGTGAGGATACTGAACTGAACAGGCTGCGGGGAAGCGGCAATTCGTGTACCGCGCTGCCGCAGGCTATAACGCCCTACCACGCGAGTTCTGGGACATGTCCACCTCGATGTTTACCAGCAAGGTCTTAGAACTCTTATCTATCTTCGGTGACATGAGCTGACACGTCGCTGTAACCGCTTTTAGCTTCTGCATCGTGTGTGCAGTGTGGTTTATGTGTGTTCACTTTTTATCCTCATCATTGCATTTCATAGCGTGTGTTGACTCTGACTCGAGAATAGCCCTGTGATTCCGATCTCATGAAGGGATGAGTCTATGACGTAAATACAATACAATACAATACAGTAGTAGGTCCCCTGACCCCGCGGCTAGCCTACACTGGCCACATCGCGCTGTTCGTACGTCAGCATCGTACATATTGGATTCAGCACGCTACAGACAGGTTATATGTTGTAACGATTAGCCGTCCACGGGGGTAGGAGCGGTCCGTAGGGTCTGAGGGATCAGAGAGATCACCTTCAACTTCAAATGGGTGACAGAGAGAAATAACTTCAAATTTACTAAGTTGGGACAGCTTCGACTTAATTCAAGACCACTTGCGTAAAAGGCTCACAATTCACACCACAGAAAACAGAAAAGCACTTCCCCGATCTCAAACAAATTACATAATCTGGAAACAATAATTCTAATGATAATTATTAACAGACTCGAAAACGGCTCGATAAAGACTATGAATGTAGGTAAAACATTCGCTAAAATACCAATGAAAGTCACTCTCGGGGTACATGACCGTGGTGTTTGTGCCACTTGAAAAAGGCTGATGACATAACTGAAAATGTCGCGCCGTCACCCTGATAGCACACTCACCTCTATTGACCAGTACGAGTAGTCGAAATTAAAACTCTTGATGTTATCGTTTATTTGCTTTGGATTTGTGATAGCTGAAACACGAGAGGAATCGAGTGGAATATACAGCAATGGTGACACAAGCACTAGAAAAATATAAATAAAACAAGTGCATCATTATTACGCAGAGTTATCGCACAACCACATATTACGAAAGGTCATACTCATAAAACATTATCTATGAAGCAAACCATTTACAAATGTTGGCTGTAGTCACAAAACCGAGCCGCTATTTACACCGAGTACCGAGAAAGAATTGTCCGTCACTGACCCTCACATGTCCCCGTGACCTAATCAGACCCGACTCTCATCTTCCCCACCACAGACATGGGCAGCCCGTCACTCTCGGACGTAGCGAATGACGCCCTGTGGCAGGGATCTGACTACAGATCATCCCCGGTCGGCATCCCCGGTTTATCCCCGGTCGGCAGGGATGGGACCCGATCTAACCCCAGTCTGCAGAAAACACTCCAATCCAGGCCCAGTCTGAGGCAACAGACGCGAATCCGCTTTGCCGGGTCGATTTTGTCGCCCAGAGACACAGTAATAATCCGGAAAGACATGCCTACTTTACCCTTTTGTCAGTACCAATCCATTACTGCCATTCCCTAAGAGCCCTGCCAGAAACATCGAAAGTGACTTAGCCTTGCCACAATACCGGCGGCATGGCAACACAGGAATGACTGACGGACACCGTGCCGAGCAGAGCCCGTGCTACTCCGTTGTGGGGCTATCCAGTGCCCACCTTACTCTATAAGGTGACCAATATATTCTGATCGCTGACCCCACCATCCCCCCCAGCCCCTTCCCTCCCTCGCCCGCCGTCCATCCACTCACTGGTGGTGTTGCCGTCCATCTCGATGACGCAGTCACACTCGCGGCTGATCTCTCGGCCGTTGAACGGCCGCACACGCACGGCCACCTTGACCGACGACATGATGTGACGTCACCCGGTCCGTCGCCGCTGTGACGTCACCTGCCGGGCAGACGGGGCCGGTCGATGGACGGGAGACGGATCATGTGCGCGGCGACACAGAGCACGACAAACACACTCACCGCTGGGAAATTACCGGCGCGTCCGGACGGTAATCTAATGGGACGAGGCCTCCGGTAAAGTAAATAGGACACACTTTTCATTACGAAAAAACATATTATCCAAAGGTAACAATATGGGAAAACTAAGCAGTTTTCCCAGCCCCACAGTAAGCCTTCACCTTTGAGTTTTGACCGAGCGGCTAACCCACATCCCATCTGTGACCGGTTGGCTTGTTTCACTCTATCATTCTTCGTTGAAGTTTATCTTGCCCCATGTCAAATTCCGATTTTCATTGAAATGAAAACATAACATAATTCATTCCCTTCAGGGACGTAGCCAAGGGGGGGGGGGGCAATGGGGCCATACACCTGAAGACGAAAAAAAACAGCTGCACCACACCCCAAAAATAGTGGGCCGAATCCGAGGAGCTTTCCTTTAATGGAGGGGGTTCGACACTAGGCCGCGACCTGTGGCCCCTCCCTGAGCAAAATCCTGGCAACGTGCCTGATTCCCTTGACCCCTCCCCGTTAAAGGACTATCACCGGATGCTCAATCCAAAGTGCAGTTATCCGCAGCTAAGGGCGGCGCCTATATGTCCGGTTTTATCCCAAGGCCTCCTCTAACATACCCACTGGGTGGGCAAATGCCTACCCAGTCACCACAATTGCCCACCCAGTGGCGTCGATTTGCCCACCCAGAAGCAAATGCAAAAATAAAGGTCCGGCCAGACGTCCGGTAGGAACTACCACTTCGGTTTCCCGGAAAAAAAAACTTGCTAGCAGCCAGTGCCCCAGCCCCCAATCACTGCAGTGCAGGTTATTTTTTACAATGGATGCATCTGAATGCAGGGGTGGTAGCAGACTTGGCGTTTGGGGGTGGGGGCAACTTGGTAACTTTGTCAGCTCTCGGAGGTGCTAGCTTAAGGGGCCCATGGCCATAGCGGCCTCAAAGGCCCGAATGGAACCCCAGAGGCCGATGTGGGCTCTCAGAGGCCAGTGCGTGACGCCTAAGGGTGTAAGCCATGGGTCCCCAGCCACACAACAAAATAGGGCCATCAGAGACCTTATAGGCTGATTGGGGACTAAATAGGGCCTCAATTTGGAGCCATCAGAGGTTAATGTGGGCCTCAGACGTCAGTGTGAGGCCCTTATAAGACTGACATTGGTCCTCAGAGACCGGCATCGATCCTTCAGAAGCCAGTACGGGGCCCTCAGAGGCACAAAAGGGTCAGTCTTGGATCTCAGAGGCAGAAAATGGGCCATCAGAAACCGGTGTGGGACCTTTAAAGGTCGGTTTGTGCCCTCAGAGGCCAGTTTAAGGCCCTCAGAGACCAGTACAGGGCCTGAAAATGGCAGTTTGAGGCCATCAGAGGCCGACTTAGGCTCTCAAAGGCTAATGCGGGTCCTTGAGGCAAGGATGGGACCCTCAGCGTCCCATCCACCCTAAAAGACAGGCTTGGGCTGGTGTTGGACCCCAGAGTCCAGAAAAGGCCAAGTTGAGCCCTCAGAGCCGATGCAGGTCCTTAACCCGGCAGTTGCTGGGGTATTTCGCCACCCACCGTTTGCTGGGGGGGGGGGGAGGGGCGTTAAACGCCCCCAGCCGATAACTCGAGAACCAATAGGCGCAGCGAAACGCACGAGGCGGCAAACGAAAGAACGCGACGAGACGCTTCAGATGAGTACTTTAAAGTTGAATTTTGAGGTCACAGGTCTGGTCAAGGTCAGGTCAAACACCTGAAATCGGACTTTCAGTAGCATGGACTTCAGGACTTCACAATGGGCGCCTCTCGTCATAAACTCTGTCAAAACGGTGCACAATCCATCATATAAGGCCTAAAAGAGTGACAGCTCCATGTAGGGGTCAGTCAAGCATAGGTCAGGGTCAAGGTCAGGTCAACCGGGTAGGCACATATCCCCGAAAATCAAAACTGATATTCGCAGCCTGTGACACATGTTTTATGGGTAATTTGGGGCGTAGAACACGATGGTGACATTCATTTTATCATATGTGTACGTGTTTGGCTCAAAAAGTTCAATTTAAGAAATGCATGTATCATGGTCGTGAAGTAGTCATGAGAAATTGCCAAGATTCAGTTCAAGATTTTGGAAAATGAGGAACGATAATCAATAATCGAAGATAGCCATTTGATTGTTCATGGTATTGTCAGTCTAATGGCGGCATGTCTGTATGTCTATTCTGTGATTTTATATGATTTTTTGAACACATAAAGTTTTTGGTCGAAAACCAAGAAATCATGACGTCACTGAAACCTCGATATCTCAAAAATTTTCCAGCCGATTTTTTTTTTTAATTTTGTCACAATAAACGTCAATCAATTCCCTACAGGTACCCAAAATTTGGCGCGCCTGCGGCGCGCCGTTTTTTTGCTATGGCCCAGCGAAAAAAGTTGGGGCGTTGAACGCCCTCCCCCCAGCAACTCGGGGGTAACCCTCGCCCGTATAGGGGGGAGTCGAACGGACACCCCTCGATTTTTTGCGAATAACTCGCGTAAAAAGCGGCCGATCGCGACGAAACATTCAGTACCCTCGCGTTGATCAATTATACACCTACCAGTACCCTGCAAATTTCATGACCCTGACCTTAATGACCTTTGACCTGTGACCTACTTTTTGAGACCATGTTTGGCCGGAATCGCGATTCGGTGTGTCGGCTCGCATTAGCCACGCGTATGCAGTCTTTTCTGGTTTCAAACGTTCAAACATGGGATATGATATTGCTCCCATGCATTAGGGTGGGTGTCAAGGTCACTTGAATTTTAGGTCAGGTCATGTACCTTTGATGACCTCGGTTCACTTTTTCGAGTTTTACATGTTTCTAGGCTATTTTTTTAGCTGAAATCGAATTTAGCAACCATTTGAACATTTACGAAGTATTTTTGGTGCCTTCGTAACATGTTACGAAGCTGTCAGAGGAGGTTGCCACCTACTACGAATACCCGGCAAAACCCTTACTGGTTGACCTGACCTGACCTGACCCGACCTGATCTAAATGCATGAAGACATCATCCATGATCATAACTAACATGATATTCGTGATCAGCACCCCGAAAAACCATAGCACCCTTTACGACGTTCTAACAGCCAACGTCCCGATTTTCCCGACTTTTGGGTCCATGACCTGACCTGGAAGGTCAGCCGATGACCTAGGACCTTAACTCTTGCCGGCACAGGGGGGGTCGATGCAACCCCCCTAAGGTTTTTTCGCGAATAACTCGCGTAAAAAGCGGCCGATCGCGATGAAACTTTCAGTACCCTCGCATTGATCAATTTTACACCTACCCTTAAAATTTCATCACCCTGACCCCAATGACCTTTGCCCTGTGACCTCTTTTTCGTGACCATGTTTGGCCGAAATCGCGATTCGGCGTATGTCGGCTCGCATTAGCCGCGCGTTTGCAAGCTTTTCGTGGTTTCAAACGTTCAAACATGTGATTTGATGTTGCTCCCATACATAAGGGTGGGTGTCAAGGTCACCTGAAGGTCAGGTCAGGTCATTGACCTTTGGTGACCTCGGGTGACCTCGGTTCACTTTTTCGAGTTTTTTTCATGTTCTAGGCTAGTTTTTTAGCTGAATTCGAATTTAGCAGCCATTTGAACATTTACGCAGTAGTTTTGGTGCCTTCGTAACATGTTACTCAAAACTAACACTATATTCGTGATTAGAGATGCCACAAATTTGCAATTTCATTACCCGCCCCGCCCCGCAGCTACCCCTTGCCCAACCACAACTACCCGCAAGCTGATTTTGGCTGAGCCGAACCTGCCAAAAACCCGCAATTTCAAAAACCTGCTTTTGCAAGAAAGAAATACAGCTGGGTCAATGCTAGAGCTATATAAACCTTACTTGCTTCATTGCTGTGCATAAAAAGACAGCCAATCAAATAGTAAGGACTTGAAATTGCTATGCTAAGTCCTCAGGAAGTGCACACTGTAGTGGAAAATGAATAATGCATCAATACATTTGAAATTCCTTTCTGAAAAGAGTTCAGTAAAATCTTTCTCTCACCTTACCCTTCAGCATTGGCTGAGGATCAAAATTTCACTCTGGCTCCCTCTCAATGTTAGGCTTCTGGAATGATATTGCTATCAAAATGAATGTTGATAGAAAAAGATATGCGATTTCCAGTTAAAAATAAATAGTGACACGGTGAATAATGAGCATCCGGTCGATCTACACATAAAACAAATCATGCAAAATCCGAGCAAAAACCAACTAACCACCAATGAACTACGCATTTCTGAAAACATGCGTCAGAAGCGTCACCAACAGCTGATTGCAAGGAATGTTACAGCGACTAAATTATTGCAGCCGTAGTTAGTGCGAACTTGTTGCGAAAACACCGTTGTACAATGCATATTCATGTGCCATTCTGATAAAATTATTTTACACAACAGCTAAAGTTTTACAATTCAGAGATTAATCACCGGTTAAGAAATAAAGAGACAGCAAGTACTAAATTAAATGTAATAATTTTATAGATGGTCTTGGTAATGCTCTCCGCCTGGTCCTCTCTCGGCATACAAATAATAAGGACGTAAAAAGACAAAAGAAATAAATGCGACCAGCTACGTGGTTTTGTAACATGTATAACTGCTATTTTGAGGCATTCAAAAACCAAGACAGAAAAATTGATTGTAAAATTATTATTGCGTCATCAATGACAGCTTTCCTTCGCCTCAGAGACCAAAATTGACGCAGTCAAATACCAATCCTTGTCATAATGTCGGAAGTGCGCCAGTATTGTATTGCGCTGTGTTTGGGCCGCATGCCAGTCAATATTTTGATTTTTTTTTTTTTGTAACAGTAAGGGTAATTGGTGTGCTATTTTCGTAATATAGGGTGGGACAGAACATAGAGTAGGATAGGTAATCAATAAATTTGCATCAAATTTTGTTTAGCTGATAGGTCTTTTTTATGCC